TGTAACACTGTACCTCTATGGTGGATACGTGCAGCATCCTACCATATGCTTGTACTGTGTGTGTTGCCTTGTAGTGAATTATAATGTTGTCATCTGTAAAGAGTCCGATCTCGTTCACTGCAGTAAACTTGCAATGCATTTTAAAAAGATAGTGAATATTTATTTGCTTAAAAGAAAAATAACTATATATACAACTACTGATTTTGTAAATAGATAATTGGTTGGAGTGTATAGTATATAATGTAAAGGCCATGGATTAAAATGGGATTGACCAACATCCTTGAAATCACTGCCAACTTAAAAATGGTTGTTTTATTTCTCGTACATTTCATTTTAAATATTTTTTTGCAAAGAGAGTTTTATAGAAGATAAATATTAAAACAATTATTCAGTAAAAAGGGAAATCTCCCAGCACATCCTGCTGATCATTTCAGTTGCCTTATCATCACACACTGATGGTGTAAGTATAGTGAAGGAAATAATTAAGAGCCAGCAGGATTTACATTGAAATGAATGTTTTGTTGTTGTTGTTGTTTTTATTGTAAATAAATGCCCTGAGAATTTTAAAGTCTTTTTTATCCTTACTTTATGCCCTGCATCACACCACTCAAATACCAACAAACTAGATGTTCCACTTCCCACCATCTTGATGAACACTTAGAGAGAAAGCCCCATGAATAAACGATTTGATGTGGCTGCCCACAAGTGTAAAATAGAGCAATCTAAAAGTGGAGGCTTCCCTTTTTATTCAACTGTGCCACATGGAAGAAAGATATGTGTTTAAATGAATCAAAGGGAAATACAGCTCAATTATGACTGAAATGGGCTTTCCAAATGTATCTGCACGCACAACTTAAAAAAACTAAGGATTGTAATATGTTTATGGAATGTCATAGCTGTGTTTTAAAACATGCAATTGTACTACTCTGTCCTGAACATTTGGGACTTTTCTGTTTTTATGCAAAGAAGTGCTTGAATATGTGCAAAAACATTTATTCTGTAAGTAAATTAAAAAAGGTCAGACTACAAAGTGAAGGTCAGTTTATTGCGTAAACAGCAGCAGTAGCTCGCTGCTCTGTGAGGACGTGTGCTGCAGACCCCTGGGGCATGCTGGGTTTTTGTCAGCCTAGCAGCAGATGTTTCAAATACTCTCTAAAAAAAACTAAACACATACAATGGATGTGGAATGAATTTGGTCATTTTGAGAGAATGAAATGTTAAATATATTCCCAAATGTATTTTGCTTTACAGCTGCATTTAAGATAAACATCAATAATGTAAACTCTTATGTCATAGCTGTCTTTTCCAAATTAAGTTATTGTGGTTATGCTCCCCACCCACTTTGTTCATTTGACCAAAGAACAAAAAGTCTCATAGATCTCATGCAGGTCTAAACTATTTTTTAAATGTTTGCCTCAACAAATACTACAATTGAAGAATTTAATTCATTTTAGGCAGCAGTTAGTCACAAAAGGAGCATCTCAGATGAAAAATATCCACGGTTTTTTTCTTGTACTTTTATGTATTATTTGATTCGCTGTACAATGTATTCAGTGGAAATCAGAATTAAACCTATGGTCCTTGTTGTTGAAACATCATGCGCCTTCTACCATTGGACTGATAGTGCCCTCCAGTGGAGTCATTCAAGCTTTAAACTCACCTACTGTGTGATGCAAAGCACAGGTCCACACAGTATTATAAATGATTAAACAACTACATGGGCCTCACTTCGGTAGAAAAAGTGATGGGGACATTTTCTCCAGATTTACCATCAGCAGAAGATTAAAGATGTTCCTCTCCTGGGTGTTGAACCTTAATTAAATAATATTAAATACAGGTGTAATCATAATGATGATCAAATATTAATAATATTTCAATAACACACTGCCTGTTTATTCAGTGTATTAATGAGGAGGTTAAAGAGTAGCTCCACATAATTGAGAGGCACTCTCGCCTTAACTGCTACAGCGGAACCTTTGTTTCCGCTGAGAAACAGGAAATGCCTTAATATTGTGTTACTCAAGCCGGAAGTGGGATTCTAGAGTCACATTGAAGTCGAAAACACGGGTCATAGGAGTATAAGGTAAAGTAACAATGTTTATTACATACAACAAATAGTGTAATTGACGTGGTCGGATAGCCAAAAGCCGAATTATTCTTAGCTGCAATCTTTTAGTAATAATATTGCGATTTGAACGCATTAAATCGGTGCTGCGTTGCTAGCTAGCATTAGCAAAAGTCACCTGGCAACTGGAAAATAAGTTTAATTTGACAAGGTTTCTTTAATATTAATTATTTTACATTCTCACAGTGTTTTACTTTGTACCATGAGTGCATTTCATACTTTAGGGTACAGGCTATAGTTAAGGTGGACATCAGTGACCGGCTAATCTAAAGCTAACCCAGCTAGGTTTGACAGTATATCATAACACATGTTTATATACATGGTGAAAAGATAAACACAGTTAAGGACATAAAGGGTTAGACACATCATTAAAAGAATACCATTTAAAACAACTATTTTTAATAAAACTACTACACGTTCAAATATATAAATTATTTCCATGAAATCTGTACAACAAACTGCGTACAGTATACTATTGCAAAATACAGTATTTTGTAATAATATAAAATATATGCAGTATTTTTACATGACTGTTATTGTTTGTAGTTACTTCTCGGTACACGTTTGTGATCTCTATGGAAGAGAACTCTTAAGTAATGTGCTCTTTCCCCACAGGACCAGTGATCACTCAACTCATTCCTGATGAAGTTACTTGAATGATCAATAACAATGTTTTCATCAAAGATTGTCCCTCGTCTCAATCTATTACGTAGAGCAACCTGTAAGTATAAACACAAATATCTTTCTATCCTTTAAAATCATGTTGACATTTTTACAATTGGTCGAACAGTATTGTTTTTATTTTTGTTTAGTCTTAGGGCACATGGGGCTTTCTTTTCTATACCTTTTGTTTTGAGAAAGACTAATTGCCCCATGTGCTCAAAGACTCAATATAGTATGATAAGAAAAACTGTGAATGAACTATTACCTTTGAAATACACTAAATAAACAATGTTACCATTATTCAAATATTCTGACTTTGACCATAGATGAAAGTGTGATTTCACATTCTCTAAAAATGTCAATGTTGTTCAGAGTTAGAACAACTGTTGTGGAATCTCTCCTTATTATATTAATTAGACAATGGGTATGCTACATTTCCAGTTATAAGTAATGTACAAAAGATGACATCTTTAATTTTTCCAGGTGCGCTTCAAGCCCATGGAGACATTTTGAATGGACGTGTACAACATGTACTTCCTGCTTACTGCTCTCCGCTACAACCAAAACTCAGGAGCTACTCAACAGCAGCAGACACACCTCCTCCTCGATGGGTGCAACTGGAGCCAGAACTGGAAGAGGTTCTTGTGCCGCGTAAACTGTCCGTGAGCCCCCTGGAGAGCTGGCTCTCCCTGAGCTACTCCCTCCCCCCCCTGCTGGAGTGCCCTCTCCCGCAGGAGGAGGTGGAGCTGCTGGAGGAGCAGTTGCTGCCAGCCCTCTCTGACCCTGCGCTGGAGGACGGGGGGGAACCAGCGACACCCCTTAGTTGTAAAAATGTTCTTGAGATCCGACGGCGGAAGATCAACCGGCATAAGTACAGGAAGCTGCTAAAACGGACTAAATTCTTGAGGAAGAGAGTGATAGAGGGCAGAGGGAAAAAGAAGCAGGTGAGGGAAAAAGGTTCCTGTGATATTGAATAGATTGATAATTTCCTACTGATTATCCTGGCATATTCAGCAATGTATCAGTATGTGATCATTTCATTTCAAACTGTATTGTTTTATTTAACATATTGTCTTGCTTACTCTTCAAAGGTGTTTATTTTGTGTATTTTATACACAAATTATATTTTCTAAACTACCACCTCTAAACTGTTTGATTGTGTCCTGTGCAGAAACGATTTGAGAAGGATCTGAAGAGGATTTGGACAAGAGCTGGACTGAAGAAGGCTCCAGAAGGATGGAATACACCTAAGATCTTCCTTAAACAGCACGGAAACAAAAAGGACTGAAAAACACTGACACTATTTCAAGTTTGTCTCGCATCCTTCCCACTGGACGTCTCTGCACACCTCAACACCAAATCAGTCAGCCTATGTGTACAATTTTTTAAACAAAATGTAGATCATCTAATAAAAATATTTCTCTCTCAAGCCCAATGCAATGTGTGATGTTGCTTTGTGTTGTCATATTTTGGTTTACAGGACATCTTACGTTTTTCTTTTTTCTTACTCTGGATATCACCAATGGGCAAACACAAATAAATACTTTTCACCTGGAACTACTACTTTCGATGGTTATTTCAAGTATTTTATTTATCTATAGAACAACTCAATCAGAAATAGAGGTACATGGATCTCAACTATTATACATCTACATGTAGCTTGACAATAAAAAGCCTTTCAAAAGGCCTTGAAGTGAAACTGCTTCCTTTAGGGCTTTAATGCAGAAACCAGCCTTTCTAAGATCAAACAGGCGGATATGAGGAAAGATCTTTTCTAATCCCTTCCTGGGGTGGAAGGGTTCCCAGGGACTGGTTTAAAACGTTTACAACCATATAAAAAAACGTTAGTCTTGACATGTCATTGGAGAGTTTAATATATGAAAAGGCTTGTTGCGCCTGTTACGCCTTCTTTGGAACTATTGTAAACTAGTTGTAATGTCAACACTATAGTTTGATCTGTTGTGTAATAGTCTATTATAAATCTGTCCATTTCACACTGACAACAAAATAAGTTTCAAAACAAGCTTTTTCTTGGGGCTGGCCTTTATCCCATTTGGAGGAATGTCCCTTTAGTGCATTTTTAATATTCGTTTTGTATGTTGGTAAATTATAGTTTTCTACCCAACCCTCATCGTTAATGATCGTACTGCAACACATGTTTTTCGTCAGGCTGCAGCAGTGTTGGGTTTCATGTGGAGGCGGAGCGAGACTCCAGTCCGCAGGAATACAACAACTCCAGCTGAGCCGCAGCTCGGGAATCTGCTGCTCCGTGTGATTTATCAATTAATGCACACATCACAGTCTCCTGACAGGCTGTACCTCAACACCGTGGATAGGATGCACCTCGAAATGACTCTCCTTCAGAGTAAGTAGTTCACTTTTCTTGCTTTCAAAAGAGAAAAATAACTTTGGGAAACTTTCTTTGTTCTATAATTGGATCCAGGTTAGTGTTGCGCGTCGGGAACAAAAGCAGAAATACATTCAGTTCTCATGTCTCCTCTGCTGCACTGTAAACATCTTATTTTGAAGGTTCTTCAATAATAATTCCTCTGAAAAGCTTTCTAATAAGCTATAAAACGGACCCGTAAACAGCCTGAAATGTTGATAATGTTAACTTGTGGTAGCGTTGTTCTTAATATAACTCTTCTGTTTCTATACCTGTTTTGTATGTAGCCTATTTATTATACAACTATAAAAAACGTTGTTAATTTCTCTCTAAGATTATTTAGTTCCATGGTAATATCTTAAAATGTTCAATCAACAGCCAACTTAATGTACTTTTAGCTTATTGTTTATATCAACATCCTTTTAAATGTGTATCTAAGTATGTTGTCTTAAACTTTATTTCCTCAGTAAGTGGTATTACTCAAGATGCCATAATATACTTCTCTATCGAAAGCCTGTATTTTGAAATGTTCTAAGATAAAGCATGGAGCTGCATGGACTTGCAGTGAAACGCAGCATCGAAGAGGCTCTCGCTTCAGTAACGCTGCATGACTTTACTGGCCCCGGCCTGTTGATTGTGTGTATGTGGGATTTGTTGTGGCTTCAGCCCAATGTGTTTCTCGTTACCTGCGGTCTGAGCAGAGTCAGCAGAATCCTGCAGCCCGTCATTAAATGTGTCAGTAACGAGGGCTTCACCGCGAGGGGCTGCTTTGAGCCCGCGCGACGTGGAGGATTGTGTGTGTGTGTGTGTGTGTGTGTGTGTGTGTGTGTGTGTGTGTGTGTGTGTGTGTGTGTGTGTGTGTGTGTGTGTGTGTGTGTGTGTGTGTGTGTGTGTGGAGGGGGGGGGGGGGGGGGGGGGGGATTACTGTAACCGAGTTTATGGTGGTTCTGTGTTAATGACCGGCCACCAACAACAGTGCATGGGAAAGATTATAAATGATGTGTTGAACTAAATACGTGTTAACTTTAAAAATGTAGAATCATGGCGTAAAATGAGAAGGTCGTGGAAAGGTAACATGTTTGTGTTCTGTACAGGCAATGCCTCGACTTTGTTCAGCAGAAAGGGAGATTTACAGTAAAAGCCCACACACTGAGATGATCCCAATTCATTTTTAAGTCTAAGATGTTTGGGCAGTTCAAATAAACCGAGAAGCAGTGGTTGAAAGTAACTTCCTCAATTACCTACCTTAGTACAACTTTGAGATACTTGAACTTTACTTTACTATTTCCATTTAATGCTGGTTTATATTTGTACACCCCTACCTCTCAGAAGGGAATTGTTGTTTATTTAACTGCAATTACTCTGCTTAATGTATTTGATAACTTAAAATAACAAAAACAATTATGATATATCATATCATATATCAAGCTATCAATATATGCAGAAACAAGTTTCACTTTCATTAGCTAATATGTTATTCATAATGTTATTTGACTACAAACTTTGTAATAAATTAAACATTCAAACATATTTAAGATATGTTGATGCTAATACTTATTTTTTACTTTTTTAAAGTAACATTTTGAATGCCAAACTTTATTCTTGCTACAGCTTGGTGTTACAAGAATACTTTTCTGCACTTCTTCCATCCCTGCCGAGAAGCTATTTTACAGGGCGACATCCCTTGATCCTGCATATTTTTTCACTATTCTAAAGTTTTATGAAGATAAATACTTACATTTACAATAATATACCCAGTGAGGTGTCATACAAAAACGTATTCAACAACTTCACATAAGGAAGTTGACCTATCAAGAGGAATCAATTGGCTCTCAAGGCGTCTGACTGTACCTTTGTTTAGCCGAGTCTGCAGCTGGACACATCTGTTTGATTTGTTCTAAACCTGTGACGTGGATATGAGTAAACTTCACAGATCAACAACAGCCATGAATCACAGAAACTTTGCTGATCGAACACATAGTTTATGTTTGAGTTGAACCCTTTTTAGTTTGACTTCAGGGGTTTACAATGTGTTCTCCATGTGATTCCTCAGGTTGCAAGAGACAACAGTGATTTGGAGATCACTTGGTAAATGCATGTTATTATAGTTGGTTACTCAATAGCACATTGTTAAGTCTTCAGGGTTAAACCAGCCTCGTGAGTCATCAGCTCGCGAGTGTCTGGAGGTTTGATGAGACACTTACAGGGTTTGGCACACTTTTACCTTCTGCAGGAAAGTTTATAGCCTTCATTAGAAAACCTTATTGTTTTCCAGCATGACATCTGCTCTCCGATGCCAACGTGTTGACTTAGTTAGTTTGGCCCAGCTTTAAATAGTATATTATTTTGGTGCCTACTTTCAAAATCACAGCATGCTTTTGTGTGATCAAATCCCTGCATTTAAGCAAAGTAGCTGCTTTCCAATGGTGTATGGTTTGGATGTGGTGAAATAGGCACCCTCTTCATATTTCTGTTGCCTGTGCTCACAAATGAAGTGAATCAGCCTTTTCGTTGGCTTGTCAGCTTGCCTTTTGGGTGTTGGATAATGAGGGTCTTTAACTTAGTTAAAAGTAGCATCATAGCAGTAAAACATTATTACAATTCTTATTACAAAGTGTCACTTCAGTAAAAAATACAGATTATTAGCTGAATGTACCGAGACTATCAAATGTAAAAACATTCATAATTCATGTGAGTTTGGAGTAAATGCCTCAGTAATATTACTATAATATATAATGTGTATGTAACAAGTTACTGTTGAGTTTAATACATTTACATAATGACATCTCACCGCTGCTTTTATATTATGTAATTTCCAGATTAAGGGCTCTTCACGACCTCGCATCTTATTACATTTTAACATCTTTCAACGAACTTGTGTGCAGTTTAGAGAGTTTTTTTACTTTAATTGTCTTTTTATTTATTTTATTTTACATTACTGGGATTGGGGTTTATCTTTTATCATAGAATCTAATGCATGTATTCTTCTTCTTTATATGTACTGAATGTATCCGTCCGGCAGTGGCTCAGTCAGTAGGGGCTTGGACTGTGAGCCGTAGGGCCGCCGGTTCAAGTCTCCGACCAGACCTAAATATGGAGTGTGGACTTCTACTTGAAGGGGTCCCAGTTCACCTCCTGCCCTGCCGTGGTGCCCTTGAGCAAGGCACCGGACATCCCCCTTCCCTCCTCACTCCCATTGCTCCCCGGGCGCTGTACACTAGCTGCCCACTGCTCCTAGTACTAGACTCCTGGTACTAGGATGGGTTAAAAGCAGTGAACAAATGTCGCTGTGTGCTCTGCATGTGTGACCATTACAGAGGGTTTCATCCCTCCCAATTATTCTACCCTGAAAGCAACGCACCTCCTTCCTCTATTGTTCACAGTACCCATTACCAGTACAGTAACACATATATACAGGTGTTTGGTTTTGACACCAGGCAGTGTGACTGAAGCAGCTGAACAGCAGCCCGGTCCTTCCTCCCCTCAGGATCATGGCCTGGCAGGAGTCGCAGCGAGCCAGCGGCAGCAGCGATGAATAGAGGCTCTGTGTGCGTTGGCTGCATGCGCCTCTGCTGGCCCTTCAGTAAACACACGAACAAATAGCGCTGTGGGAAGAATCCAGTAGAAATAGCAAATGAGCTGTAGGAAAAATGTCCTATCTCTAGAGTGAGAAAACACAAACACGATATATATATTTCCCCAGAAGATTGTTGACATCTAAGTATATTTCTTCTGCTGTTGTATTCATGTTACTTGCCTTTTGCCATGTCCTTGTTTCTTTAGCTTTCCTCTGTTATTTTAAACAGTCCTCTCACTGAACCCACATCTGTTTCAATCTTTCACTGTCGGGTCAGTCCAGGTCAAACCGAAACTTTCCAGTCAACACAACATTTTGCAGAGTCTTATAAATATTTCTAAAGACCTAATTAGTGAACAGGCTGATATCTGTAGACAAAGTGCTTCAGGATACAACTCTAATCCCTTATGTTTTTGTTTTTTGCAGTTTTATCTGTGCTCTTACTGCCAGGAGGTAAGGCATTTATGTTTCTCCATCCACAAACTTCATGTGTAGTGGCTCATGTCATTGTTCAAGGATCTTCTGAACCTACATGTTTATTTCTTTGTGTCAGCGTGGGGTCAGATCAGCAGCAACACATTCGGCGTGGTGGTGGAGGCCAAGAACATCACCCTCCCTGAAGGATCCAAGGCTGTGCTTCCCTGCCACAGCCCCCGCATGGTGTGGACCCAGGACAAGCTGAAGGACCGTCAGAGGGTGGTCCACTGGGACTTGGTGCGCAGCAGCCCGGAGTATTCTGTGGAGCGAGTCCTGGACATGTCCCCCGGAGCCCGCGAGAGGGTCTACAACAGCGTCAACAAGGGACGCATTTCCCTCCCAGACACGGCTTTCACTGATGGCAACTTCTCCCTCATCATCGACAGTGAGATGTCCTCTTGTTTTCCAGGAGCGCCATGACCGTTGCACCCTTCTATTTATGATGTAATCTAATGGTTGCTTTGATTCTTATTTTTTTCAGATGTGGTTGCAACGGACAAAGGAGTTTACACTTGTAATCTGCACCATCACTACTGCCAGATTCACCAGTCCATCAAAATCCAGCTCAATGTCACAAAGTCAGGTGAGATGTGCTTCCAGTGTGAAATAGTTGGTAGCTTTCAAAGAAACTTCCCTTATACTGTAGACAGCCTAATGATTCTCCATAATTCACGAAACAGATTTGATAGTAATATATTTCCCGCTCATGTGTTTCCAGCTCGTAAAGAGAAGCGTTACTGGGACGGAGAGAGGACTGTGTTCGTGGTGATGTTGGGCAAGTCGGTGGTGTTGCCTTGTGTGAACCGGCGCTCTCTGTGGAGGGAGGGTCTCCAGGAGGACCAGCAGCAGGTGGCCCACTGGGACTTCCAGCCCCCCGGCGTGCGTCCTGACCGGGCCGACCGCCTGGTGGACCTCTATGCCTCTGGAGAAAGGCGAGATTATGGACCACGCTTCGGGGCGAGCAAGATGAGCGTGGAGGAGGACGCTTTCACTCTAGGGGACTTCTCTCTATCCATCGCTGACTTAAGGCCTGTTTTTAAAGGCCTGTACTCCTGCCACCTGCATCACCACTACTGTGGACTGCACGAGAGACGCATCTACAGGCTCAATGTGGGACCTGCAGTTCCCCCCGCACCCACAACAGCACCCAGAGTTTTCCAGAATGATGTGCCCGAGCAAAGTAAGTCCCTCAGAATTAAAAATAACAAGAGACACTCCACAAGAGCTTTGTTTTTTTCCAGAAGCTAGAGATGGTTAATGTTTTTCCCCATATGGTTTCTTCGCTGAATCGTGGATTGAATAACAACACAGACCCCGGACTTTTTCTTATGGTTATAGGCATAGTTGGTCAGTTAAGTCACTTCCTTTTCTCCTCTGCCAATTCTCTCCTCAGTCTTCTCTGTTTTTGTGTTGGACGCTGCAGAGGGAGGGAGGAGGTAGAAGGAATGTAGAAGCTTGTTGAGTAAGAAATAAAGAAATAAAGAAATCCTTCTCTTAGTTGAAAAAGGTCTTTTTATTTCACGTTTTTACATTTTAGCTTTGGCTTGAGAAGCAGTCTACAGTAAACAGCTTTAAATTGGCCACAGCGGAAGTGGTCTCATTTTCCTCGCTGAATTTTTTCATTTTTACTGCTTTTTCATTTAGTACAGCTGGAGACATTTTAACTGGGCTGAGCAGAGGAGTAGGCTCCAACAGCCAGTTATGTTGGGGTGGAGGGTCCTATTCTTGTGTTTTTTTCCTCCATTTGACCCAATTTTCCAGAAGTCCCAACAACACGTCTAGACGAGTTGCACTGCATCTCAATTTCTGTTTATTATTTGTCCCAGTCGGCTCTGTTTATCTGATCATGTGTATCAGCCTCTGTTTGATGCGCGTTGAGCAGTAGCAGGAAGTCTGACACATCTGTTCAACATCTGGGCCAGCTGTGACATGAAAGAGCATAGAAAGGGGAGGGGATGCAGGTATGTGTTGGACTATAAATCCTCCACTCCTGTAAAGAAACGACAGCTCACGTATTGTTTTTTTTTAAGCATGTTGAGCAAATGCCCACGTGGCTAGATGACATCCTGTGTGTCTTTTAGTTCATCTGGGAATCACGTTTTGTTTGTGCTTCGTCTTGTCTGTTAGCTTAAAGCTAAGTTGTTTGTGCTCGGGAAAGTGCCAGCAATCATCTGAAACTACACATCTCACGAGAGCTTTCCCATTTCATGTTGTAATTATTTGTTGCAAGTAATATGTTCTCTTTGTAATCGTCAAGAGGCCATTAGGTGAGCTGCCAGCAATTCAATAGAAATCTTTATCTTTGAAAAGTAAGATGCTTTCCTTCAGCTCATTGACTTGCAAATGATGCATAACCCACAGGAAACTAAACTCGCAGCATATGTGAACTAGCCGTTAACACGTACGCACTTGTCAGATCTGTCACAGAAATGGAAATGGCTTCCTGCTGGGACTCGGCTGCAGCTCTGGTTTTGACAGTTGAGCTCTAGAGACAATGACCTTGGACATGTCTTTTCAATTTCATGCATTTTAGGTACATTAAAAACTGACAGGTGATAATTGCTAACCAGACTCTCTATTAGGATGGTAATTAAGTCTGAATAAGCATGTTTTTTCATGGCTGGCTGGTTTTGAAAGCGTCAGAGATGGTACATTGGATGTTTTCCTCATTAGTCTCTCAGTGGAGCCTCAGTGTATTTTAATAGTGTCCAACTTAGTTGCTTTAATGAGAGACCAAAGAAAAATCCTTTACTTAAAAGAAATATATAAAAGGAAAGTATTTGATGTCGATATATGAAAGACATCTGTTATTTGGCTGCATTTGAATTTAGGGAGAAATTGAAAAACTACAGTATATTTTCCATTCTTCATTAGCTCTGTAAACTTGCATTGAAAGGTTATTCAAAGCATCTGTGCAGTATATAATTATATATGAAATACTGTTTATAATAGGCAGTAGTTGTTATGATATTCCACCTCCTACCCCATATTTATTCTGTGTTTTCCATTTATAATAATTATCCTCAGCTATATCAATAGTCTGGCTAACTGTGAAGACTGGTAGCTGCCTGCAGTGTTGTCAGATATGTTTAAACTGTAGCGTTCACTCATATAAGCTCTGCTTTACGCCTAAACTCCACTTCTTTGTTTGTGAGAAGACGTTGTGAAAAGGCTTCAATGGGAAACCAATAGAGACATAGAGACAAACCACATAACAAAATCTGTCTCTGTTTCCTCACACTTCCCCTCCTCTTTTCTGGTCAGCATGTGTTTTTCTGAAGAGAGAAAAAAAAAGAACAGCTGCATGACATCAGGTCTGGAACTCATTACCATAGAACAGACATTTAACTCCTGCTCTCCCTCTCTGGCTTTTGGAAACAAATGAAAAAGAATAAACCTCGGGAGGAATAAAACGTTTTGAGTAATGTAGAAATACATTTCAGTGAACTAGATTTATTGCCATTATGATTATCCAATTAAACAATCCAATAAATCCCCTTCAACTGTTGTATACTGTAAGTACATGGAGTTGACTTGATATATTCACCGTGTGGACTATTCTATATCTCCTTAAGCTCTTATTATGTATGAGACAAATGTTTCTTGAGGGAAAGATTTAATTATGTATGATGAATAATCATATTTAATTTTCTTCCTTTAGGGACTGTGCAAGAGGTGGAGGGTCCGCGCGTGGTGAACGTCATCCTTCCTGAGCAGCGAGGTTATTTCGTGCAGCATATGGGCTACTTCCTGGCAACGTTCCTACTGCTGGCGTTCATCGTTGTCGCTGTCATCGTGGTGACTAGGAGACGCAAGAAGAGAGGTAACCAACAAACTTGTTCTTGCCTGTTATTGGAAAAACTGTTTTGTGGATACAGTGTGTTTGACATTTCCTGTTAAATCTTATAGGGCTGGAGTACGACATACGTAGATATGAAAGGTAAGACACTACTGCACAATAAATTATGCAAACACTTTGTATTGAATCCATTTGTAAGCGGAGCAATACTTATTTCTGTGCAGGGGAACTGTGATCAGCGGAGGTGAAATGTCATTAGAATGCACAGAACTGAGGACTTGTAACCAAGAACCTACGAATTCAGGTACAGTAAGCCTCATCCACACACATTTTCTACCTTATTCAAATAAAAAAAGATAACCTTACTCATAACCTGTGTGTCTACCACAATCCACAGACTACAAAAACAACATACTGAAAGAGAGAGATATGTCCAAAGACTGCAACATGGGTGAGCAGACTTTGTGCAGGGCTGCATTTCAGTAAATAAACATCATAGGGTAAAAACCACAGATACGAAACATTATATTTGAATAATAAAATATCTGTGTCCCACATCATTCAGATTTTGATGGGAAACTGTGGAAGTGAGTGCGATATTTCTGAGATGCTGCTGGCAGGTCCAGGGCAGACACCGGAAGAGTAAAGGGCCGTGAAGAGAAAGGAATACAAGACGAAACCCAGGAGAGGACAGGAGGAACGCTCCCTCTGCTGTAACTGTAACACTAAGCTTTTCAACTGAAAGCCAGCATCATTTTTTTTACATGTAACTTTCACCAGCTGTTATAACAATATGGTTACACATTTATTTGATCCTTACTCCTTGCATTCATTGGGTGGTTAATGGTGATTATTAGGCATTTTTATCATCCTTTTTACAAAAATGCATGCTGTTTATTAAGTATATTTTATGTATACGTTGCATGCTTACAGAGATGCAAGCTCACAGCTATTTTCCATTCTTGAATTTTCTTTTTTTTGCACAATTTCTGGTGGTTCATAATGCTTTAAAGGTTATATTACTGTAGTAGACAATTTCAGACAGTGTTTGGAAACAAGTGCCACACATTTCTAGCTACACAATTAGTCACTTTACACAGATTAAGGTCGTTTATTATGTTTTTATTTTAAGAAACTCAGCCAGTCATGACTTAATGTCAATTGTTTTACATTGCCAATTGTGTTTGTTGACTTGTGAAGCCCTCTGAGACAAATAGGATTTGTGATTTTGGGCTATATAAATAAACTTCAATTGAATTCATGTTTTTTTTGGACTTTCAGACCTAGATTCTTCTCAGAATAATATTTCTCCCTAATGGATATATCTGTTTATTGATAACTTATCAAGTGAAAAAGCTAAATTGTCCGACCACTGACTGAAGGCCCAGTCAACCAAAACTCAGGTAAAAAAAAAAGAACCTCTTTGGTTATTTGGTATTTAATGGGCTGTGCAGTGTTTGTTTGCACCATGTACTCTGGATCATAAAACACTGAATGTTCACTACTAAATCTGCTGGTCAATGATAGGTACAAACTTGTTATAAATGTGCGGCTATAGCTCTATGAAGTTTACTGCAGGAAGAAGAATGTTTGCTTTTTCAGTAATGCAAATCACAATTTCGATTTCATGTTGTCTCTTGCTCTCTTGCACACTATTGTTTGTCTCTTCCAAGCAAATATTTCTTCTATTAAAGCTTCACAACAGTGGCCACAGACTCAACACTCTTTGTTCTGGTTGTTAGAGGGTGGATGCACATGTATTGCACACATATTTGGTATTTGGATGCGTAGAAAACAGTTTTATGAAATGTAAATATGTCCTCTGAAGTCTTGATGATTAGGACTATGATTGAAGCAACGTTTGTTAGTAGTTTTAGTTTTGAGTTGAATTAACTAGTTCTTAGTCTGATAAATGTGTAGTTCATGTGCCATAACCAGCTGTGCAGTAAAAGCTTTCATCAATTTGTACTCCTGGGGTGATCAGCCACATGCAGTGATTAATAAGCAATTACAATCATATGATTAATGTCTAATAATTACTTCCATTTGTAATTATTGAAATGGAAACATCTCACATTAAATAAGCCCATTACCTTGAATTAATTGACCGTTAGTCTCTATAAAATCATGGGCGAGCATCTGCTGAATAAAAAAACTAAAAAAAACTATGATGTACATGTGTAGGATTTCAGTTTTAGTGATTTTATGCTCTTTTTATAATCATGACTAATTGGTCAGAAATAGGTCATCATGCTTTCAAAACTACATATTTTATGGCGATTATATTGACATGTATTGTATAAAATATGTATTAAATGTAGTTAATACAGCTTCAAACCATTATTCCACTGTTATATCAGAGTTAGTAGTGATAATAAAGGAAACCCCATTCTTTATAAAGCCAGGGCAATTCCTCTTTGTTCATGCCTGTTGTATAAAATGGGCATAAAGGCCCGCGCACAGCCCAGACACGCCACTAGATGACAGCACTGTCTAACCAATTAGCTTGTGAAAAATAGCAATATTCCCAACTCCATATTGCTGTAAGGATGTGGACTGTCCCTTCCTGTTTTAGTGCCGAGAGAGCCACCGTACCGCCTCACACTGGAGCAGGGATACAGGCACTCATAACGCGATTATGTCTGGATTTTCGCCGTGTTTGTCAAAAACACGGAGCTGTTTTTTCCACCGTGGCACCGTGTACAGGTTTATATATTAGGGAATGCTGTTATGTTATTCTACGGGTAGCTGGTAACATAGCAGGCCTGTCTATTGCGCTGCCAACCCTTGTTTCCTTTCCTGTGTCAATGATTGTCCTCCCCTCACTCTCATGGCGGAGACTAAAATAATATATCACATAGACGAGGAGGAGACTCCTTATCTGGTCAAACTCTCCGTTTCTCCGGACAAAGTCACATTAGCGGATTTTAAAAATGTCCTCAACAATCGACCGGTCAATAGCTACAAATTCTTCTTCAAATCGATGGACCAGGATTTTGGGTAAGTGGCCACCATGATTATTATTAGCCTTTTCGTCTGGTTCACTTGCCATTCATTATTGCAGTGTGTGTTTAATAAGTGTATTGCAGGGCGTGATAGACAGCATCAGACGGTGTTAGCTGCAACATTGTTACATGTGTGCAAACTACAGTGCCATGTCTGTTTCCATTCTCCTGGCACCTGCTCATTATTACTACCCTGTGCGCAGTGGAGGAGACACACGAGTGTTTGAAGTGATCCCAGATCTATCCTAATGACGCAGCCCTGCATATACACACAGAGCCAGACCCTGCTCCGCGTATTAATGTCAATATATAAACCCATATTAGTGTCAATATATGAGCCATGTGGACTGTTAACGAAAAAGCAATGTTGACAAAGGCTCCATATGTTCAAGTTCTCAGGTTTCATTTGGACTTGTTTTGTTTTTTTGGTTCCTCTCTGCCATCTGTAAGTGTATATCATAAGCATTTATTAAAACCATTTTTTTGTTACATTCACTTATTACAACCGATTACAACCCAGGAAGTTGCCTTTACTCACAGACACACACAAACACACACAATGGACTGCAGGTGAATCCCAAGGGAATATGGCAACCACAAACCAGTGGCTGTGGTTGTTAAAATGCAATCGTGTAACCAACTTCTGCATTTAATTACCCCACCTGTCAAACTGAACAACTTCCTCATAACCTAGATGTTTAAGCAGATAATGTATACTGAGTTATTACAGTAATGCATGTTTGTTTCCTGAGAAATACAGATAGATGGATAGCTAGATAGCTAGATAGTCATAAATATTGATAGACAGATAGATATATAGATAGATAGGAAATTCTCTGTTAATGCAGCAGCAGGTTATCAGGCATTAGGAGTAAAATCTACACAGTAAATATGACAACAGTAACAACATATATATCTATGTATCCTTTTATTAGTATCCAAATAAGGCACAATGTTTGCAGTCTCATCATATCCCACTGTCGTTGTGGTCATGTATTAATTATTGTACTGTCATAAGGAGAGAGAGTAATCAAATTAATGATTAAACCTATGTTTAAGCTGAAAGCTGATTACTGTAGCATTAATTATGGAACAAAAAATGAATTCAGAACACATTAGATATCATGTAAATGTATTTTTTGCAAATGATTATAGACACATTCAGTAAAATTTCTCTTTATTGTAGGTCATTTTTATTTTGATTGTGAATTTCCCTTTATAAGTCACAGAACTTCCACTGGATGTCGGATTTATTAACTATTTCTGTATTTGAATGTCTCTCTGTTCTGCTCTTTATATTCCTGTCCTGATTTGAAAGAGTTACTGCAGCTCTACAAAGCACTCTCTCTCGGTCAGCGAGATCTACTTCTATCAGGCCTCTGCTGAGGATGACATATTTGTGTCAGTTACTGTTTCTCATTCCAGTCTGAACAGTCAGACACGATCCCACACACATTAATATCCGGCACTGCAATCGCAAACATTATTGGAGGAAATGCAGAGGCAGACAGTGTCATTGAAGCCAAACGTCACAGATTTCCACTGCAGCCTGACCTTGTGAGGGAAACTAGCTCTTCCTGGTGCAGGCTTGGTGCTCCGCTTTGTCCCGGCTTCCTGCCTCGGCTGCAGGCCGGCTGCTCGCTGGGCCTCAGGTGATCCACAGGCAGATTATGGAAACAAACAAAGCATGTTTGCCTTCTCCACATGGTGATGTGGCTCTGTGTTGCTAAACACACCGCCACACCAGGCCGACCGGCTCCTGCATGTGCGTCAACAAAGCATGTTCAATTATGGTGTGAATTGGACATTGTCAAAAAACGATGTTTCACACAGGGCTGGTATACACAGTTTACAAAGGCGTCTCCATCAGCATTCCAGCCTTTGAGATAAGGTTGAATATTCAGGCTCCGTGTGCGCCGTATGGTACTGGCACAGTATGGAAGCAAAACCCAGTCAAAGGCACAGAGGATAGCAGCGCTTTGTGGTAGCCATTCTGGCTGTACTGCATACACACAGACATTATGGCTGCTGGAGAATTAGCAAGGGAGGAATAAGAGTGCTGAGCAGAGAGGGAAAACATCAAATCCCTTGCAGTTATAGACTGTGTTTGAAATGTAAATGAGCAGTCAGTGCAAGGTCCTCTGTAGTAGACCCCCTGTTGTGCAGGAAAAACCAGCCACTCTCTTATGGGATTGCTGAACTACATTTGTGCTGGCAATATCAGCTCTCTCAGCAATGGCCACACAAATCTGATAAACGGTTTGCCCCCAAAACGCCTCAGCTTACTCGGTGAACATGTCATTTCAGCTCCCTTTGGGATCAGGAATTACATGTGGCATCTCCGTCCACACAACACGGCACAGCAAATTAGACGATGAACGTTTCTTTGTGCAAATTTCATACCTCAGTTGTTTTTCCCCCCTTACATTTCATTCAGTCATCAATATTCATAAGACAGGAAGCGGGAGGCTGTGTTGTTTATCCCACTTAGGGTTTTTGGAGACTTCAAGGTGATGATATGGTGTTTTGTCATTGCCACTGGTGGTGAGTGGGTTTGAGACCTCACTATAATGCAAGTCACAGCGGCACTCTGGAGCTGAGGAAGCAGCCAAGCTGAAGCTCTGAAAGAAACAGTCTTGTTTGTGCCTTAGAAAGCGGGGGGCTGGTAGGGGAATCTTTCTTCTGCTGAGGTAGGGCTGCTAAGCCCCTGTAGTGAGAGGATAAAAAGCACCTTTCACCGCTCCTGTTTTTGCTTTGACGGATTTCGAAGGTTATCCCGTATTTTTGTCTCTTAGCATTAACAACAACGCCCTCACGGTTGAAAATGACCCAATACATTTGAGTTTGGTTATGATGATGCTGAGAAAATCACACAGTGATGGTACTAAATGTGACTTTAACAGTTTGAATGTTGTTATTAACAGCCTTTTAGGTGGTGAATGTCAAATGTAGCTGTTTACTGAGTCAGTCATATTGAAGTCAATCTATTTGCAACTATGTTTGACTACAAATATTTTGCTTCCCTGTTTATAGTACCATTAGCATCAGCCCACCAAAGTCCTTGGACGGCTGGTCGGTGTTGGCTGGCTTCTCCTCGGCTGGTTTCTGGTTCAGGCTGTAACTACCCAGCCCTCCTCAGTGTCTAAAGCAAAAACAAACACGTCTAATCTTCCCCAGCTACACAAATATCTCCAACAGTTGAATATTCAGCAATCAGCTGGATACATCTTATGTCATTATCCTGTGAAATCTATTAGGACCCATTTAAGCTGTCAGCTCTTAAGAAGTCAGATCTGTGACAGCAGCCCACACCACACATATGCTTCTCTAAACAGGGTTACTGTTTGTGTGTGTGTGTGTGTGTGTGTGTGTGTTAATGTGTGTGTCGATGCTTGTTAACTATTCAGGCTCCTGATATCAGATTGAGGCTGAAAAGAAGGCTGTCCATGAGTATTTCACCACATGATAACGACGTCATTTGTTTTCGTTGGAGTTGATTCTTAGTTCTTCTGGTTTTTATAATAGATCAAAATATGTTGAGAGACTTACTTTACATGCAACTTCTTCCAGAAATCTGAAATAAGCTGCAGGTTAGCAAGTGGAACAGGTTTTCTTTTTCCTGTCAAACATTAGAAAGATTAATTGCTGATATTTATTTTGCGCGGGCCACTCCCACATCCTCCCAAGTCACCTTACAGCTGGTCATGCAGCTTGAGAGGATGCAAACACTTCCTACGTAACCAGCAGCTGGCAGCCTCAGCCCTCGCCTCCCTCCCTCTTCCTCCCTGAGGTGGAACAGGCCACAGAGGCAGACTCTGGTCGTCAGTCCCGGCCACAAGGCTACGTTATCTCCGTCCACCACTCCCAGCAACACAGCTCCCCCAGCAGCAGAGCGCACAGAGACACAACAGGCTTGGCTAATCATTTCAGTAGCAGCGAAGTTCTGGCAAACAAGAAGTGAAAAGAAAAAGCTGTGAAGTTGTTGTCGGAGACACCCCTGCATAAAATCTTCTTAGGCTTTTCTGCTACTCTCAAGTTGCGCCTCTCCCTTTTCATGTACCACGTTCAAAGCCGAGAAGCTAAAGTGAGATCTCCAGAGTCTCATAAATACTTAGTTTTATCAATTCAGGGAAAATCCTTTTGCAAAGAAAACCAAATACTGTGCACACACACATACAGAGGGTTATAAGGGGAGCTGTTAAATAATAAGAGGGTGTTTTGCCAAGTGTTTGTGTGTGTGTGTGTGTGTGTGTGTGTGTGTGTGTGTGTGTGTGTGTGTGTGTGTGTGTGTGTGTGTGTGTGTGTGTGTGTGTTTGTGTGTGTGTGTATATGAAAGGGGTTTGCCAGCTCATTTCCTATACCCCTTCCCTAACTCCAACTTGATGTATATGACACAAGCAGGTGTGGCGACTGGCCACATGAACTATGTCCATGCAGGTCAAAGGGTAACTGGGAGGTATTTTTGTAGGTAATTTACAGCCGAGAAGAACGCACTGTGCGAGGCTCACACACTAGATCACTCTATTTATACACAGTCCTGTGCCTTCACGCCCTGTTGTCGCTGTTCTAAGGAAATATCTATTAGGGCTTAGCGATTTGTACAAACATGTATTAGTTTAACTGACATTGCAATGGTAACACGAGCCAAATAAAATATGTTTAGCTGTAGAGTATAAATTGTATGATAATAGTCTCTGCAGCACCACAATACTTGTTTCAGAATGGTATTTCTTTGCACATGATTTGCCTTGAACAAATATTACACCTGGCTTTATTCACTAATCCACTATTTGAGTACACTCAGATCAATTATTCAGGCCATCAGTGGACATTGTAACAGATGTACTGTAACTATTAGACTTGTGTATGGCCTAATCCTTACCAGTTTGACCGGCCCTTATCACATTGCTTAGTGTTAATGAAAGGAGACTTTGATGTCCATAAATCCATAAATAGTGATTTATTCTAAGATTGTATAATCTCTGCTGCTCATTAAGCTCAGCAAGGGTGCGAATTAGGGCAGCTCGATTATGGCAAAATTCATAATCTCGATTATTTGGGTCAATAATTGATATCACGATTATTAAAAACTATTATCCATTTACTTTGAAAACATCCATTTATTGGAAAAACATTTTGAACAGTATGTTTTTAACAGTTGATTACCCTGAACTTTAAGTATAATTCAACTGAAAAACCAATAAAAAAAAAAATCAATAATCGTTTTTTTTAACGATTATGTTGTTTTCATAATCGTTGCAAGCCAAAATCGTAATTGCGATTAAAATACGATTAATTGAGCAGCCCTAGTGCGAAGCTTGAAAGCCATGTGGGAAACGTGACTTACAAAGCGTGAATGTCTCAGAGTATATTAACCACGCAGGGAAAGGAAGTGTCTCCTCACTGCATTGTGTTGTACTTGTTGTTGCGCTGACTCGGTGTCCTGCTCCTGTACGGCTAGCCTGACTGCATCTGTCTGCCTGTTCCCCAGGGTTGTCAAAGAAGAGATTTCCGATGACAACGCCAAGCTGCCCTGCTTCAACGGGAGAGTAGTTTCCTGGGTAAGTGAGATGGATGGTTCCCCTCTCTGCTGGCTGTGAAAGCACAGCTCTAACCACAGATATGTAGAGCACTCATAGATCATGTAAATGTAGCATTGACGCCCCCACAGAGCTTTCTGAACACTCTTCACCTCGATCTCACTGTTCAGCTGTATTGTATAGGTGTGGGTGATTCCATTAGATATTAAACATAGCTACTGTTACAAAATACAACGAGGTACGATCCAGTGTAACCGATCTGTTGGTCAGTAACTCTATTGACAGGGTTCCTACGGTCATTACAAACCTGGAAAAGTCATGGAAATGTAACCAAAGTTGCATCACATATAATTTATATTTTATCTAATCACCGAAATAGTAATACTATAATGATAATAAATACTGTATCGTATAGTAATGAAACGTAAAATGGCATTTAACTGACGAAGTATTTCGCTGGTGAGAGATTTTTACAATCACGCCCTCTAGTCTACAGTGGCTTTAGTCTGTGGGAGCTAGTAAGCCAACTATTTGATTTGTTTTAGACATGTTTCATATGCAGACCTTATTTTCCAGCTTGCCATGTTAAAATGAAAATGTTTCAGTGGTACCGCTGAGAAAGAGTAATTTCTTTGGTCATGGAAAATGAGGTAAAGGTCATGGAAAAGCCATTGAAAATCATTGGTGAAAAAGTGTATGAACCCTGTATTGACTTCTGTAGCTTTATAGTGAATTATCGTTATGGAAGATAGGTAGTGCTCTAAGCTCAAATCCCCCTCAGGGACAATACATTATGATTAGGGATGCACGATAATTATCGGCCCGATAATTATCGGTCCGATATTAGGAATTATGACGTCATCCCGATAAACCCGATACCAGTATTAATAGCCCCGATAATATACAATATATTTTTTGGGTAAAAAGAAAAAGAAAAAAATACTGCGGTGTGGGTGGATTGGGATGAGGGGCGCTTGTTTTTCACTCGGCTCCTCCCGTTTTGCCAGTACTGTGGTATTAGTGGTTTAGGAAGAGGGGAGTTTTTCACAAATCCAGCGCTCCCTAACTCATGCCTGGCTGTGACGTAAATGGTGTGCGGCCGTGAAGCCAGGACAGTAAACAAACATGTCGTCGGTGGTATGGGCGTTGGAGCTATGTGCAACTCAAGGCATATGCTCGAACCGGAGCTGCCTGGACGCTGCAATCATGTTGCGCACTATCCGTGCTGAGTGTGCTGACTTTTCGTACAATGTCCCACTGTCTGGCTTCCTGCATAAAGTCAAGTGCTCGGCGCAGTTGTGGCGAAATGTCGCTCCTCTGTTTTAATTAAACAGCTCCGTATATCCGTTAGCGCAGCTAGCTAGCACCAGATGCTAACAACAACAATGCACGTAAGGTCTTTCTCTCGCTCGCTCTGGCCACACATACACACACCCTCCCGGTCCTCCAGATGGCCAGTCGGTGCCTGCCGGTGAGCGTGGAAGTGTGGTCTGCCACAAGCGGGCGACAGGAGCGGGGCTGTCAGCATCAGCTTGTAGATGGTATTTAAACTCGATGCGCTCTGAAACTACGGGGCGGCCGAGGAAAAAAAATACACATGCGTTAATCGCGTTAAAATAATTAGTGGCGTAACATTTTTTTTGTTATCGGTATCGGTCTTGAGAAGCAGGAAGTTATCGGTATCGGTATCGGTTTCAAAAAATCAATATCGTGCATCCCTAATTATGATACATCAAATACATCTGTCATGTTAAAGGAAGAAGCAACATGTGAGTTATTGCTGTCTTACAGAACAGATGAGACAATGAAGCAAATGCTTGATATATTGATGGAAGAATAAGATAAGAGCAAGAATGTATACATTTAACAGGTTGCATGTTTGGTGGCTTTTTGTTGATTTATATTAACAATCCAGATATGGTCCAGAATATTATACTTTAGTGATCTCTGTAGGGGAAATGCCTTAGTGCTCCACAGGGAGGTCAGAGGTCAGAGTCAGGGACACAGTGGTGACTTTAGAGTCGTTAGTGACTGTCTGTTGCTCAGTATCCCTTACACAGTGTTGTTACTAACAACATGACTTTATGTTTTTATGTTTATTAAGGATCCCCATTAGCTTTTGCTCTTAACAAAAGCACTCTTCCTGGGGTCCGACACTTAAAACAATACAACAATAATACAACAACATTCAAGACATAATTACTGACATCATTAACAACATCACCAATATCATCAACAATTTCCAACATCATCAACAATCTCATCCACTTTCAATATCAATCTCAGCCAAGGATGAGTGCACTAGACACCCACCAGTGCATGAGATCAAATTAAATTAGGGTTCACAGCTCACAAGGGTACAAGGTAAGGGTAAGCGCTTTGAGCACCAGGAAAAGCGCTTTATAAATGTAATGTATTATTATTATTATTATTATTATTATTATTACATGGTCATTAGTAGATGGCCCTTCAATCTCTTTCTGAAAGAGACTCTGGACTCTATTTCAGTAAGGTAGTTTGGCAATGAGTTCCATTCCTTTATAGCTCTATAAGACACAGAAGATTTCAGAAGATGTGTCCTGGGTTTAGGTGCTAGTAGATGGCCTGATGTAGCTTGTCTAGTCCTATGGTCATGCTCGTCTCTTGTGTAAACTATTTGATCATAAAAATACAGTGTTTTTTTGCTAAATTGGAAATGTTTTAGAAGAGTCCAATTAAGCCTGTACATAAATGTGGGCTCACTACTTTACTGCTGCTCAACCACCTGTCAGCCCGAGTTAATGCATCTTCAGGATTAATTCACATTTGATTTACCAAAATAATACGCTCTGCCAGTGGTACCAAATTATTCTTAAGCAGGGCATACATTTCATAATAAGATTTATTTTAAGATACCAACATTTCACTTTTTGTAATTTTTAAAGATGTTGATAATTTATTGATCATTTTATTAATTGATATAAATTAACTGGTAAGTATCATTATATCAGCAACCTGTCATGCAATTAGCAGAGGCGTATTGTGTGATTCTAGGTGTATTGAAGCCGCTTCAAATAGTATCAGAGTTTCTAAAAGCTCTATCATGTTGATTACAATTTGTATGCTATTTTCTTCAGTTTGAATATGTTAAAAAAATACAATTAAACAAATGCAAATGAACAAATCTCAGGATACCCTTTGCCCAATATTAAGGCAGTAATTATGTAAAGCGCTTCCTTTCATGCCTAATAAATTCAGATCAAAACCATGTTCTTAAGGCATTGTAATTTAGGCAAACTATTACTTTTAACAGATTCAATAGACATGAGAAATAATATGCTGTTTATGTGTCTGATATACAAACATACGCTACTTTAAGTGTGTAGGGGTCACTATGTGATGTGCTGTACTAATAACAGGTGATAATGACCGTATTAAGTGTATTGAATATGTAAGTCGCTTTGGATAAAAGCGTCTAACAAGTAACATGTCATGTAATGTAAAAGTGAATCAGTATGTCCCACACATTAAATGCAGTTTTATTTATAAATGTCATCTTGTAATTAAGTATTTCCACTAATTCCGTAGGGCTCTTAAAGGTTAGCTTAGTTAAAATAATCCTGATAGCTTCATGCATTGAGGAGAGAAAGAAGGCACTGGTGTGGGATTAGGAATCAGCTTCAGGAGAGACACAAGTCAGATCAGTGCATCTCTAAAGTATGGAGATATTTTTCCAAATGTTGAAAAGCTTTCATTCATAAAACTGTAAAACTGAAGACCACGTCAGCACACAGAGACAAAAGGTGATGGGAAATTAGCAGTACTACCAGCCTTTGAAATGGAGCAAATAAGAAGTAGTCCACAGGGTTCATTTAAGAAGCTGGTGACACCATAGTGACACCTTTGAATCCCAAAGCTGGCTTTAGAATAATCATAATCCATGCCGTTGTTATTCTTCCACGGCTGCCTGCTTTAGCTGTCATTATTCTGGCTCAGATCAAAGGAGAGAAGTTGTATCTATGGGTCATTGTACATCACCCTTTGTACTGACTGTCAACTGAGTAGAAGCAGTGTGGCCTTTTTAGGTTTTCTTCCATGTTTGTTTCCCAAGTTGTTTTGCGTTGCCACCAGTCTACTCGTCCTCTTTGCCGCATCTCGCCTTTACTCACACGTACACAAGATGTGCTTGTTGCCATCTTTCCTGTGTGTTTCACTTTGAGTGTTGCAAAGTCTGTTGAGGTTGTTTTTGTATCTTCTTTGTCCTCAGTTTAGGGCTATGGCTGGGCAACTTATAGTGATTAAATATTGATATTGTGATATTAGAAATCCCCCTAGATCAGGGGTGTCAAACTCAAATACACAGAGGGCCAAAATAAAAAAATCTTATTGAAATGAACTTATTGCACATATTAAACCTGGAACTAACAAAGCTTACATTATTGCCTATAAAAACAACATTAAACATTAAATAATCAGTTGCATTCATTTCTCATGGCTATCTGCAGCTTTTCCGGAGTCATTTCTTATGATTACATTTTTCCACAGGCCAACAACAGCTTCAAAAAAACTATTACCCTCAAAGAAAAAACCAAACATGCCCTGTTGTCTCAAGAAAAAAAGTGCAGAAGGAAACATCCATTAAACTCAGTTTGCTGCTGTGATGCTAGTTCAAGCCAGATACTTGGCATTTCATCTTGGGTGCAAGTTCATCAATGTTTGGGCTCAGGCTCTGAGCTGAGGAAACCCTCAGGATTGAGTGAAGGTGTGCGTGCAATATACCGGCGGGCCAGATCTAATAGGAATTAAAAATTATCCTGAAATTAAATCCACCAAGGGCCTGATTTGGCCCCCGGGCCTTGAGTTTGACACATGTGTCCTAGATATATCCTAATACCGTAAGGGCTGTTGTGTTTTAAAGGCTGCAGTACAGTAAAGTATTTTTCTGAATACATCATGCTGTTCTACCTGTTCCATTATTTGCCTTTACCCGTTTAGTCATACATTTACATTACTGATGATTATTTATAATTATTTAAGTCCCAAACGTACAGTATTGATAGCAAGGTATTTAGTCAATAATGATTGTGATATTTTTCATTTCTTTATGGTTCTCACAATTTAAAAATACACAAACACAACAGATACAAAATTATAAACATTGCAAGAAGACTCAAATAATCAGGCTTATTTAAATCCTCTTCCTAAATAATGTTCAAAATCTCAATAACGACATATACTTCACTTAAAACTTAGATGTTTTAAATGTTCTTCCTAATGCCCAATTGTTGCTATTAATCAACAGCAGATTTATCAATGTTTGTGTTTCTCTAAGTGTTAAATATGTCTGGTCTCTAAAGAAAAATCTTTCCTTTGTTCCAACTTCTCCTTCTCAGCTGGTGCTGGCAGAGAGTGCCCACTCTGATGGAGGGTCTCAGTGCACAGAGAGCCATCCAGAGCTGCCCCCTCCTCTGGAGAGGACAGGGGGCATCGGAGACTCACGGCCCCCCTCCTTCCAGTAAGTATGCTGATTACTGCCTGTCATATATGCACAATTTCACACACATACATGTACATGGGCAATGCAGGCAGATGTATTCAAGCACAACATTCTGTGCACTAGGTGACCTTTTTATTTCACAGCGCGCCATAGGTGCTAATCAGAATGTGGAAGCTCATCAGAGAGATTTTTCCACCCAGGCTCGTATGGGAGGTGGTTTATACACCGTGTGTGAATATGGCATGAAGTATGTACTAGTCAAGTGTGGGAACATGCACGGGTGTGAGTATTTCTTCCACTTGTGTATGTTCCCTCCCGCCCACTCAACCATGGAGTAAGGCATCGATGTAAACATGATGCGTACGTCGCTGCTGCTGCTGATTCTTGAAATAGCCTGCACGGCATAAACATCTTCAGGCAAATACTGGCACTCAGTGAGGCCCTTTGTATTCACTCACTTAGAGCATTCATCCATGCCCGGCTAATAAAGGCAAATGTGGACCAAAAACACATTAGTGCCTTAAAAGCTCAGAGACAGAGATTTTGCTCGACAGCCTGATGACTCTTACCTGAGCCCAGACTTTGACTTCAAACTGGCAGATTAGAGAATATGACTGCACTTGCTAAGGAGAAGTTGCTAGCTAAATATAGCTAAAAGGGCTGGGGGCAGTGGGGGCGAGGGTTGTTGCCATTATGGCGCTGGAGTAATAGGGCTGAGGCTCTATATTGAGAACATGCAGTCTGTCATGTCTCAGTGTATCTCTTTATCCAGTGTTTGACATCTCAGCTCTGGTTTGCCCTCTGTGGCCCGCCCCCTGCTGTTCTGCTGTCAGCTGTCCTGATGAGTTTATATTTCCCGGCCAGCTTTCACTAGGACTACTGCCCCCTTGTGGAGCAACAAGACAGTGTGTCGGGCCCCTTACCCTACGTTAGGGGTCACCTACTGTCCAAGGGCCAAAATTAATCCAAGAGACACTTTCGGGGGCCAGAGATTTATATATATATATATATAAATCATAATAAATTATATATATTTATATATATATATAATTGATTAATATGTTCACTTTATTGAAAAAATAATCTTTTTTTTTTATAAGCCTGTATCCGGGGTAAGAAAACTGAAAGCAGTCCTGATCGGCAGGGAAAGGAATCACCTTTTTTATTAATACCGTGTCCTGATTGGTGGGAAACGGTTGCAGGATTTAAGAAAATGGTTTGCCAGGCACACATATCTCAAATAATGTGTGCGGTGCCATTTCCCCACATAAACACAACAGTCTGCAATGAAACAGTTGTGTCCTGTGTGCTCCACTTCCTCCTAGGCGAACCGGTAACTTTCTAGTTAACCCGTTTTGGTTTAAAAACAGAATAAGGTCGGTCTTTTGGTTTTCTCTTTTTCCGTTTTGGTTTTAAAACAGAAAACAAAAAAACAACACCGGTTTTTAGTTTTTCCTATTCGGTTTTGAAACGAAAAAAACTAAGAAGGAACCATACACGGATTAAACATAAACTTCTCCTCATATTTTTCATATAAAAGTAATCATCATCTGTATATATATCACCTTTGGGAATGTAGTGTCTTGATCAAGGACACAACAACGTTTTTAGACTAGCGCGGGGCTCGAACCCGCGTAACTCGAGGTGACATGAGTGAGGGGCGAACGCACTAACCACTCCGCCAACGCCACAGTCACCGTTGCTGTGCGGGCCGGATGAGAATGTCTGGCGGGCCGGATGTGGCCCGCGGGCCGCCAGTTGATGGTCACTGCCCTACGTCATATCCCTCCTTCCCCCCCCTCCCCCTCCCTTTCTTTTCTCCCCTTTGAGTCAGACAGGCAGGCCTTTCTCTCAGAGAAACAGCGTGGTGAATTTCCTATAGCAGACGTCCTTTCTTTCTTAAGTGAATCGAGTCTTCCACCCTCTACCTCTCTGTGTAAATAGCTAGAATAGTATTACCACTTCATTTTCTCTTGTGCTTTATTCATGCATCTCATGTGTTTGTCTGCGTGAATGGCTCTATTTGATGAGTGCGCAGAATAGGTGTTTTGGCCGGAGAATGCACCCAACTGATGTGCTTCTGCCTGGTAATCCGGATTAACGGACATTAAAAGCACCCATCTCCATTTCCCCAGAGGGAAGGGGTGGCGATTGGCAGCAGAGAAGGGGCCTGTTGGGTGGGGGGGAGTTGAAAGGGGTGGCATGTGTTCACAGCTGCAGCCTAGCGCCTTGGATAATCCCCCCCCAGATCAGCAGACCTGCCGCCCTGCAGCCTTTGACAGTCTGACAGACAGGCAGTCACCGCCACATCTATACTTACAGCGCTGTCCGATCACCACAAGTGCATCCAAACTATGAACCTACAGGGATATTTGCATACATGCAGTGACCTGTGCTGGTAGAGCCTGGCCCAGGTGCACCCATTAGCCCGCTGTAGCAGGAGCGTGTACGCACGCCTCATTGAGCACTTTACCCCGCTGAGTGAACACGGCACACAGCATCTTGTCTCATCTTGTGTTTTTGATTTGCATTGATCGTCCACAAAGAGCCACCAGAGTCTGTGAGGACATTGCTTATAAATTGCTGCAGGATGATGTTTGTGTCTCTATTTTTCTGTTTGTACACTGTGAACATGAAACAGTTTGTATATGCCATTTGAGCATGCATGAGTGCGCCTGCATGAAAGTAAAAAATGTTATGCAGGTGTAAAGTACGTGTTGTACACATGCCTAACTGTGTGTGACAGACTGACAGGGTAGAGTAGAGTTCTCACCAGCTTCAGGTTTCCTAGCTGCTGCGTGGGTCCCTTAACCCCGGAGCCTGAGGTCACAGCATCTCCAGCCCACTGACAGAATAACAATCTGCCCTCGAGCCCCTTCAGAACCCCCAGACTCCTCCCAGACCCCAAGTACACGGGCCAGCTCATTGCTCAGCCCACACCTGAGCTACCACTTATCGCTTTTTTATACAATCTGTCATTCTCCCCTCTCTCTCTCTCCCAATCATGCTTCAGGCACCATCTGGGCTTTCAATAGGTCTCATTAATGCCAGTATTGCCCAGAGTGGCTCCCTCTCAGGGTGTCTGGTCATTAGTGACACTTAGTAAAAAATACATCACATACCGCACAACAATGGAACTGCTACTTTGGCCACAGGGATTTAATTTGAAACAGAGTCATAATATGAGTTGCATATTCCCCTGAGGCTGAATGGCAGGCATACAGATATTGTTACAGGCAGAAGTATACTGTACTGTGTGGGGTTATGTTCAGGAGCCTTGGTCACAGGCCGGCTAGAAATCATTCATTTTGAATACTTTCTGTGAGGGAGGGGATGTGTGTTTTGGACCTTAATATGAATCTGACTGAAGTTTTCCGATGTGTGTCTTGCAGTGCCAACGCGGTGAGCAGTCGAGACGGCCTGGACACCGAGACGGGAACAGAGTCTCTCCTGAGCCACCGCAGAGAGAGAGAGAGGGAGCGCGCTCGCAGGAGAGCGAGAGAGACTGAGCGTGAGTATTATCAGCCAAGAACAGACGGATCCTAAAAATGCAATTATCTTGTCATTTTAGAGTTATAACATTTCAGTGACCTTAACTCGACACCTAACTGTCTTAAAAACAAATTAGACAGACTATCGACATGTATGAAAAAAGGCCCTCAGGGATAAAATGGTGTGTATTGAACTTCAGCTATGTGAGGCCAAGAATAGATACCCACATTCTCAGCATAGCAAGGAAAGTAATAAGTTCACTGAATGTCAACATATCTGGAGCTCACTGTCTTTCCGAATGATTGTCCTTCTCCTGTTTCCTGTGTGGCTCAGGTTTATGGTCAGAGGCTATTTTCCACTAAGTAGTCAAACTCCAATCATGTTCACCAACCTGTCGAAGAACTCTAGTGTTTTGTGAAATATCACCGGAAAGGCTTCTGCTTTGATTGATGAGATATAAATGCATACCATAAACTGTCTACCTAGAGAAAGGAATTCTTGAAGGAAATACTAAGGATCTTGCTTTTGAAAGCCCGAGAACTGTAATCAAATGTGAACTGCTTGCTTGTTTTGGCATTTGATTGCAGCAATTTCCTATCAAAATCCTTTTTTTGAAGAGAAGGACAGTTTTCTTCCTGCTCGTAGGAAATGACTGCCCTCCTATACAGGCTCAATGATTTTCATACAGAATATAAAACATAAACTTTCTACGTAGAAAATGAATTCTAGAAAGAAATGGATCCTGAGAACTGTAATGAAATGTGATCTGCTTGCTTGTTTTGACATTTGATTGCAGCAATTTCTTATCAAAATAATTTGTTTTGATTGGAAGTGCAGCTTTCTTCCTACGCCTAAGAACTGCCCTCCTTTACAAAAGCCTGCCAGGCAGCATCACATGACTGCACAGAGTATGCTGGTGCTGCAGTAAAAGGTGTGCTCTGTTATCAGCATAATCATACCTGCAATAATTTGCGATATCCGCTTCCTGTTGTTGCCACGCAAACATCTTAGCAGAATCAGGTTTTTTTTATTGCAGGAAGTAATATATCAGCAGCGTATGATGCTGGCAGTCCGCTGTTGTTTTCCCTCACAGCACAGCCAGTTGTCTCTCGGTCTCACCTCCCTTAACTGCACGCTTCCTGGCGCATTCAGCACTCATTATGCCATTAGTATCACAGAGAACTGCATCAGATTGAGATTTTAGGAAAAGCTGTCTTGGATTCTGGAAACACACCAACTTGATCATCAACTAATCCATCGCATCACACTTTTGCATCTTGCCGTCATGTTTTTGACTTGGCTAAAGCCGTTTTCCTGGCGCTCACCACGTCCAGATGCTGCTCACTGCCAACTGCACATCTGCTGTTTGTGGCTGATGCGGAAATACCTTCAGCTTGATGAACTTTGCGTCTGTCCTCCATCCTCCTCTCTGTTGACTGACCCCAACACCCATCTGACACTATCATACAGACGACAGAAAAGCATTACCTAATGATCTCTCTCTCTCACACACACACACACACACACACACACACACACACACACACACACACACACACACACACACACACACACACACACACACACACACACACACACACACACACACACACACACACACACAACACACACACACCACACATTCTTTCTTCTCTGTTTCCTCGCCTGGCATCTCCTCGCCTGCTACTTTGTTCGCTCTAATTAAGTGAACCATAGGGGGAATGGGGTGGGTCACTGCAGTTTCATGGGTCACACACAGGGGTGCACATAACTGGTACGCAGGTACGCATGCGCGGCAACAATCTGAAATGCGTAACGTCACTTGTGTCACTACGCGCCTTTGCGTACTTGATAGGTCATCAAAACAAAACACATATTTCGTCTACACGTGTTTCTTGTCAACACTCAGTGGAGTAAATTATTAGACATGTCCAAAAAAAACAAAGACATTAAGCAGCCACTTTGCCGTTTAGCTCCCTGCAAAAATCTTCTGACTTTCTGTGACTGACTGAACTGGGTGCTGTCCGAGGACATAACCGACGGACCTGAGAAGCTTTACAGGAGGCAGAGGCTTAGATCACCGGACAACAGAGTTGTTCACCGTGTGCACAGACAGGGTTAACGTCGGTATGAACAACAGAATTGGACCAAAACTACGTCCCCTGAGCACATTCTGTGCCCCGCGCACACACTGGAGAACTGCGCACAATCAGCTGATCACAACATTCATGCTCTGTGGTCAAGCTGCTGCAGTTTGATTTACAACAAAGTGGAGTACAACACACAGTTGCAAACTTCCTCAGGGTGTTAATGGAAGAGTTTGAAATCAGACAGAGGTGGAAGAAATGTTACTCAAGTAAAATTAGAAAAGTATTATCATCAAAATCTAGTTAAAGTAGAGACAGTAAAAGTAGTCGTTGTGCAGATTGGTCCATTTCAGAATAATATATATGATATGTTTTATAATGATTGATCATGAAAGTGTTCTCAAAGCTGGTAAAGGTGCAGCTAGTTTGAATGACTTTGTATACTGCAGGGAGCTTGTGAATTTACTCCAGGTGGAACTAAAGTCTGATTTAACACTTGGTTATATTTCACATCTTTCATCCAGATCTGTAAAGTAACTAAAGGTATTAAATACATGTAGTGGAGGAAAAGTACACTATTTACCTCTGAATTGTAGAGGAGTAGAAGTACAAAGTAGCATAACATAGAAATACTCAAGTAAACTACAAGTATCTTAAAGTGTACTTAAGTACAGTACTTGAATAAGTGTACTTTGTTACTTCCCACCTCTGAAATCAGATATGACTTCAAGTCATGTGATAATTCCTTAGTATTTGATCCTCCAACTTGGCCTCAGGAAATGCTAGGACTTCACAGTTTTGGCAACAAGTTTTGGAGAAAGCAAATCGGAGGCTTAAAAAGAGACAGGGAGGTGCATCTTCATCATCTTCATCATCTAGCATGCAAGAAGTGTAAATAGAGGACAGTGAAGGAGACACTGAGGAGGACAGTGAGGAAGACTGCACTTATTAACACCACGCTTCATGTGGGGTGAGTACCAAACGCTGTCTCCTGGTACAAGTGATATGTATGTCATACATCTAGCAAACAGCACCATATATTATTCTTTAATTTAGCTATGTTAGCTCCCTGGTTGCTGTCATAGTCACATGACCTGGATCTGCAGAAGGAGGCGGTTGCTCCACCTCTTTACCTCGCAGCCTGCAGCATCAGCAGGAATTCCCCCGTTACCTTATACACACGCTTCAAGGGATGTTTTCTCTTCGTGAATGCTAGCAGTTTGACAGTGATCAGGTAAAGTGCTCTGCCCTGGTAAACATATCCCTTTTTATTTGTTGTCTGCTGTTTCAGAATGAGTGTAGATAAATAATGCAGCAGTTGAACATTTTTGGAGGGTGAACAGGTGTAGGATGGAGTTATGGGATATGATCGGTTTCAACGCCGCCAAGCGCTCTGCATTTCAACCTGTGTGAGACAAGACCTGAATGATCAGTGATTATGTAAAAGAGAACATTAATACCCTGAAGAAAAAAAGATATCCATTGCATTAAGTGTAATTCTGTTCAGTGCTGCTGGGATTTCAAGCTTCAAAGAGAACATTGCTAAGCCAAAGCACTTATGGTTGTATTACAGTATTAACCCAGAGCGCAAAAACAGCTGGTGAATCTGCCCCCTTTATCAAAAGCATCCTCAAATAATTGTTTGTGAAGCAAACAATTATAACCTGATGGTGTTTTCACCTGGGGCAGAGATGGGACAGCACATCATCTCAAATCCCTTATTATCCCTGTCCGGCAGAATAGCATCATCTGATTGGTCGTAGACAGATTAGCAGTCATTGTATAGTTGCGTGCCGTGAGAGCGAGGGGCAACACTTTCTCCTGACTCTCGGCTTCTCTGTGCGTCCGACGGATAAAGGCTCTGTCGGCTGTGGTGAGGGGGATTTGTTGTGTTAAGGCTGTTGATGATATATGGAATTTAATGATGTTATAGGATACATGTAATTTGATTTAGTGGTTAGTTTATAGCAGGTTATTTTCTATCATTACATTGGGATATTGGAAAGTAAATGATGAAGGCTCTTGTTTTTCAGTAGGGAGAGGGATGAATTGTTGTTTTGAGCTTTTATAGACTGATGTTGTTTATATAATGTTAACCCACACTACTTTGTGTTACTTTACATATTTACTATCTGCTGAGTGCATTATATTGATTTATGCAGTTAATAAAAATTAAACAATAATCACAACTTTTGAAAAGGTCACGATTAATGTGTGCCCAAAGTAATACATAAAAGGCTCACCTACTTTTCTACTTTTTCTAGTTTTCTTACCTAACATTCTTCACAGAGCACCTCTATGATTCTTCCCTGTTCACTGCCTCTATTGTAGATCAGCTGTGCAGCCTGTGAGCAGCCAGCCGGGGGGCAGAGAGCGCCTGGGGCTTTTAGAGAGAGGCTAGCACAGACGGAGCAGAGCACAGAGACACAGATTTCAGTCTGGCTTGGTGAACCTGCCCTCCTGTTTTCTTGTCTCTCAGTCCTTTGTGCGTGGGAGGAAATATGGTCCTGTGAATCCTGACAGTGGATGTCATGTCCTGCTGATTGAGTGCTTCTGTGCAGTGGCTCAGCTTTCAGAGAAGCACCACCCGGGCGGAGCTGGCGATGGGAACTCTCACATTGCTGGAATGTTTTGCTTGCTCTCGGCGAATGCGCTGGCCGCCACGCCCTCTCTCTCTCCGCCTTGTGAGACCTTTCCAGCGAATCCGCTGTCACCCTGAGACAGCTCCACGGCGCTGGCAATGTACGTAAGGAGATGGGCAGGGTAGATTTACACTGCTGGGAATTTTGAAAGTGCAGTAAGGCAATACCAAGTAGCTTGTTTTAATTTAATTTTCAACTTTGTATGAATCACTTTGACTAGTTTACTTTAGCAGGGCTGGACCAAGGGCCTTTTTTTTCTTTCATTCAGAGCTTCTATGAGGTTTTCAAAAATAAACTTCCAATGTTTGTTGTCACATTTAAGGAAGTCATCACCTTTAAAGAACAATATATTTGTTTAATTTGGTTATTTAAACATCCTTTATGTTGCCGCTACTCCCCCCATTAATACAGATGCACACCTTTTGTGCAGCAAGCATGAGAGCAAACTTTCAACTTTGACTTAAGTAAACATTTAGTTTTTGAAAAACTAAATACAAAAAGATATGGATTGAAGCAGAGTATCTAATTTGATAAAAATGTTTGGACATTGTTACATCTATCTTTTATTCATTACATTTTGATATAATAACTCTATCACCTCTATATACTCGATATATATATATATTATTGTAGCCTAATCTTTATCTGCAGATGTGCAAAAATGCCATTACAAAGTATTCAGTTCAGCCCTATGCTGTAGCCAATAGCTATTGATGCTGTATTCCATTCCCTTTCTTGTACTCTACTGTTAGTTTTGTAGCTTATATTTTCAACAATGCCAACATTTTATCCACAGGTATTGAAGATGAAATGACTGCTGATGTTTCTGTCCTTGGCTCAGATTTGTTTCCAGTTCCACCACTCTCACTTCCTCTCCTCCTGGTTGCTCCCTCTCTTGCTGATCTGATCATTCGATAGCACCGTGACCTCCCGTCATACTCACTGCTGCTCTCTCTCTCTCTCCAGTCCCTCGAATCAACGGTCACTCGAAATCAGAGCGCACTGCGAGGGACTCGGCCATGGGTTACGACAGCGCCTCAGTAATGAGCAGCGAGCTGGAGTCCAGCTCATTCGTGGACAGTGAGGAAGACGAAGATGCCAGCAGGTAACATACCACCTCACATCAAAATGTTTGTCTCTGAAACTGTATTGTTTTTCATAAAAGTAGTAAAAAAAAAAAACATAAAATACAATTCATATACAGTAAATGCCGTTTCTGTAAAGCTTGTAATGTTTTTTCTTTTTGTAGGTGTTTATTCACAATGATATTTTATTAGTTGTGGTTAGACCTGAAACGTACACTTATTTTTATCACCAATAATCTATTGTTTTTTATTGATAAATCACAAAATGTCATATGTGAAAGTCACATTTTCATGTTGCTTGTTTTACCTGCCCAACAGTCTTATATATCTAAATAATATATTAGCAAAGATACAAAACACACACAGTGCAGAAAAAGCCCAACATTTGTGAATTTGGAATGGCAAATGTTTAGCTTTTTTTTGGGCTTGATAAAAAGCTTAACTATTATCATTATCAAAATACTTGCTGATTCAATTGATTTCAACTTACTGATTAACCAACTAATCGTTTAGCACTAGTCGTGGTTGATCCACCGTGCAACGTACTTTAAGTTATAATCAGCTATAGAAATGACAGCGTTTATAACATCATGAACTTACAGATGTTGTGTTGTTGATGCTACATGCAAAGGGTAAAGGCCTAACAGCCCTACTAACTTCAGCTAACAAAGGGACAATTGATTTGTATTGTTGTTCATTTAAAGAGCTGTTTTATTTTACTGCAAATGTTTTCTGTCACTTGTCTACCTCATCGTTTTCACTGCAGACAAAAAGGTTGAAATAGTGTCAGGTAACTTCTGTAATGTCCTATTCTTTGTCCACTTTCCTTTCCCTCTCCAATACTTCTCCTCTGCTTCTCTGTCTATCAGGCTCAGTAGCTCCACAGAACAGAGTTCTTCTTCACAGCTGATGCGCAGACACAAGCGCCGCCGTCGAAGACACAAAGTGGCCAAAATAGATCGGGTGAGCACTTCTGAGACACATCACTACCCCTGCTCAAACTCAAATTGACATTGAGTGTGGGAAACAGATGAGAGAGCAAATTGATATAGACTTTATGCCACTTTGATTATTTCTGATGTGCTCTTCTTATTTGATCCTCTTCTGCCTTTCCAGTCTTCGTCCTTCAGCAGTATCACAGACTCCACTATGAGCCTCAACATCATCACCGTGACGCTCAACATGGGTAAACCTGACACTTCAATAACTATCGTTCATTTTTTGGGAGTGTGGGCTTAGTTAAAAGCTCTTGGAGGGTTTGATTTGTCTCAACACTGTTATTATAATTATAGATACAGTATGTATGTTCGAACATGACTATAATAATGTATTTTCTGGGGCTTTTTTCTCACTCATTCACTTTTAACTTATTTGTTACATCCCAAAAAGAATTAAATGAATCTAATAAATACTTTCTTTCTCCCTGACAGAGAAATACAACTTCTTAGGTATCAGTATTGTCGGTCAGAGTAATGACCGGGGAGACGGCGGCATCTACATCGGCTCCATCATGAAAGGAGGCGCTGTGGCTGCTGACGGGAGAATAGAGCCTGGAGACATGCTACTCCAGGTAACCGATGGCTCCAGTTTAACAAAATACCACCACACATCTGGAATTTCCTTACATTTTTGTGGTCAATACCAGAGTTGTTGGTGTAATGAAAGCACCTCTGCTGCTGCTGTTTGTACAGTGTGAAAGCTAAACACGACACATGACTTTTCAAGGTTTTGTGGCATATTTTAAAAACCACAAAGTTGCATTCACTTCTGTTACGAGGCTCTTTTGCAAAGTTGTTATTCTGCCTCTCCTTTTCCTTCCTATTAACGCCTCTCTTTAGATCTCTGAGCTCCACAGCTACACCCTCTATAAAACACCCGATGGCTCAGTACGAATTGTTGTTGCCCCAACATTTATAATAAATTATTATTATGAATCTGTATCCCATAGTAAGCAGCTTACAATTTGTAGGCATCCAAAGGCCTAAGAGCACTGCAGGGATTAATGTGCACAGTTCAAATGCATAAATACATTTGAGCCCTTTCAGTCACAGAGAAACATTATATTCTAATGTAATGAGGAAATAATGTATGTTGTTGTCTGCTTGACAGGTGAATGACGTAAACTTCGAGAACATGAGCAATGACGACGCGGTGAGGATCCTCAGAGAGATTGTTTCCAAAACTGGGTAAGAGCACACAGTCAGAGTGTTTTGATAATGTAACTTAGTGCTGCAGAATATAATCAAATTGAGAGCATCATTTCATGTATGTATGGTGTAATATGGCTCTTTATAATAATAAGTTCATCTGAGTTGGTGCTCTTTGGAGATTTAAAGAATTTAGAAAAGAAAACCCCATTGAGAAAAAGGATGACTGTAAAATTATAGCGTTAATCAGTTAATCCATTGTTGCCAAAACTGAATGTTTGTTGCTACTTTCAGTGACCTATGAAACACCCTTTGGGACTTTTTCAATAACCAAAAAAGAGATTAGTGACTTTTGGAGCTGGTATTAGCTACTTTTCTGCCTCGTTCTGATGCCTGTTATTTGAGTTTAGAGCCATGCACAATACTGTACACACTAATACTCTACAGATTTTATACTCCTGGAAATAATTACTGCACTTTATTCCTTATTCCTTTATTCCTTATTCCTAAGTATGTATGCTGCGTGTATTTTGTTGTCTTATGTTGTGATGTTTTTGTTTTTGTTTTGATGGCACTCTTGAAAGGGAGAAGCATTTATTATTATCTCATTGTACATGTATAATGACATTAAACTATTCTATTCTATTCTATTCAGTAGGAATATGCAGATTACTGTGTGGTGTCATTTAGTGACTTATGGTGACCTGCGTTAAGCCTCTCCACTGAGAAAACACTGACTTGATCTTCGAGCTGATGAAAGAAACAGAACTCTGTTGTATTGGCAAAAATAAACTTCAGTTTCTCTGGGTCTTTAACATTTATTTTCAAACTGTTTTTCCTTTTTCTCCTGCAGTCCTATTAGTCTTACTGTTGCCAAATGTTGGGACCCGTCTCCACGAAGCTACTTCACCATCCCTCGTGGTAAGACGGACACTCGTACTATCTCACAATCACAATCATGGACTTAAAATGTGTATTTTATTAAAGTTGTCTATTGTTTATTTTGTTCAGCGGAGCCTGTTAGACCCATTGACCCAGCAGCCTGGATCTCACACACCACGGCTCTGACAGGACCGTACCCTCACTATGGTAAAAACAACCAACCACCACCTACATCACACTCTATGAAGCATCCATTTTGTGGTAATTATAATAACATTACATCATTTAAACAATAAAAAAGATCCAATTGTCAATAGTTTCTCCCTCCTCTCCCATCCCAGAGTTCGATGACTTGCCTTTATCTGCAAGTAAAACAGACATGGCAACCATCGTCAAGGTGATGCAGCTGCCTGACTCCGGGCTGGAGATTCGAGACAGGATGTGGTTGAAGATCACCATCGCCAATGCAGTCATTGGTGAGAAAAACTGAGCTATGTGGTTACTCACACGACTGAGAGCAGACCTTCGATTCCTGTAGACTATGTGGTGGAGCTTTTACTCTAAATAATGCATGTACTTTGGAGAAATACACAGACCAGCCTTGTATGCATACTCCTCTGAACATTGATACTGTCTATGTGGAGTAATGCCCCCTAAAAAAATATGTCCCTTCTTTTCCACAAAGTTAAATTACAAATTTAACAATGAAAGAGGAATTCTAAAATGGATTTAATCTGGTATCACAACGACATTTTCTTAAATCTATCAAGTTGTGTCTTTTTAGTGTTTTTCGTTTCTATATACAAGAAGTATTATATCAGTTTTTGTGATGGAAACTTCTGAAGCAATGGAGACAGGACTCAGAGAGACACGAGGAGAGCAGGAAGTTTGATGGTAAACTGATGGTTTACTTGGAGCTTTGGCCGGAGAATTCACAAGACATGTCGTGTGCCACGGGTTGACACAGCGGATGCCAAACCAATTCTGAAGATCTCTACCCCAAACCCATGTATTTAGTTCTGAGAGAATAATCAACATTGTGCATAACAAGATAAACCATAACACCTCTATCAGCTGATGCCAACAGGCAGGAACAGGAAGACAAAACACTGAGAGGGCAGCTGTGCTCAGCAAGGGCAAACAGATAAACTGGGTCAAAGTTATGGGCCTAGGAAAATATTTCCCCAACAGTTTTAGTTTGTTTTTCTTCCCATAAAATGCCTTGAATAAACTCCACAATTTGCACAATTTTTGCATTATCTAGACCAGTGGTTCTCAACTGGCCGTTTCGAGTGGGTCGCAGACGTGTGAGTGAAGAAAAAATAAATGTAAAAAAAAAGTCAAACTTTTATTTTGAAGGCCCGATTTTCTAACGCTGTGCAGGCAGTAGGCGTTGGGCTGGCAGTACTGGAGACCATACACGGTTTTGGAAACTTCTGTCATAGTGATCATCTTCTCAATAAAACATCTTTGCTGATGTTTTTTCCAGTCTTCTGGCCAATCAGAATCAAGATTGTTGCCGGAAGTCCCCACGGAGAATAACTTTGCGGTAAAATAATACAAATGAACACATAATGAAATATGACCCCCGGTTTGATGATTGACAGGTCACAGAACAATGGGGTCTATCTACCCTACACACTTCACACAGACTATCCCCTCGTTGCTCTTCTCTCTGTGTGGAGCAGCAGGTTCAGCTGTCAGAACAAAGTGAAAAACAAACAACGGCATAAAATATTATTAATATGTCGGGTAGTAATACATTTATTTATGTTCTTCTCAGAGTGTACCAGAATGCGTAGTTTATATGTTAGTATTTCTAAAAAATATTACTTTAATTAATATTGTATGGTGAAAAGCGTATATATTACAGCACAATTTTGTGTTGAATAGATTTCAGTGGTTCAAAAATGTTGGGTCCCGATCTATTGACTAAGGACAAAGTGGGTCCCGAGGCCTGACCAGTTGAGAACCACTGCTCTAGACCAACTTTCTTCAAAGTTCTTGCAACATTGTACTGCTTCTCTTCATGTAGCCACTGTGACTGTTATGCATATTGAGTATTTTTTGCATCTGTTCAACACATTAGAGCAGGAGCCTTCATGTCTGTGTGTGTGTGTGTGTGTGTGTGTGTGTGTGTGTGTGTGTGTGTGTGTGTTTGTTTGTTTGTTTGTTGCTGTGTCAGGTGCCGACGTGGTGGACTGGCTTTACTCCAGAGTAGAAGGATTTAAGGACCGGCGGGATGCGAGGAAGTACGCGAGCAGTCTGCTGAAACATGGCTACCTGAGACACACGGTCAACAAGATCACCTTCTCCGAGCAGTGCTACTATACCTTCGGCGACGTCTGCCAAAGTACAGACCCTTCTTTTACAGACCTTTCTTTTACAGACCCTTCTTTTACAGACCCTGTGTCAATAATGAGACTTCTGACTGAAATTGTCATTTTTAAACGAAGACTTTTTAGATTAGCTTTTTATTAGCAAACCCCCACTTTAAATGTTCTCTTAGTCTTTATTATTTACCTACCTTTATATTGTTTTATTTATTTTATAGGTCTTAATCTTTTTTCTTTGTTTTCTGTTGTACCTATATGTTCACTTTGTTTTATGGGGTTTCAACTTGTGTCTTATCAGTCAGAGAGAAACCATTATTTATTTAATTGTTATTATCATACATTTCACCTCCTTGTGTCTATTAACCTGATAACACGTTATATTTTGCACCTTTTAAAGTTCTTAACAAATAATCTGAGGGGAATGTTGTTTATTCTTAACTTGTGATGTGTCATTTTGTAAAGCACTTTGAGCTGCATGTGTGAAAAGTGCTATATAAATAAAACTGTATTATGAATTGCTTTTTGTGAAAAGAAGGATTGTACTAAACATTGTCCTTTATGGTTCTGTTTTCTCTCCAATAAGACATGGCGTCACTCAATTTAAACGAGGCATCGAGCGGCGGAGGCTCTGAGCAGGACACACTGGCACCGCTACCCCCCACAACCAACCCCTGGCCCCTGGGCGGGCAGCCATTCCCCTACCCTCTCTTTCCCTCCGCACCCCCCAGCTTCCCACCAGGATACTCGGACCCATGCCACAGTTTCCAAAGTGGGAGCGCAGGCAGCCAGCCCAGCGAGGGTAAGCAATGAAGAGGAGATGGCAAAACATGGCTTTAATTCATTCATTCATGTGATAATTTGACTCAACATGCAACATGACATCATCATTAAGTATTCCTGATAAATGTCAGTATTAACAACTGTCTGCTAATTTTAGCTTATCGGCCTCTCTTGGGCAGGAAGTTGACATTGCATCTTTATTAATGAAATATGTGTATTCTAAAACGCGTCCTGTATTGTCAAGGTCAATCATGAGCATCTTGAGTCATGCAGCGGACAGCTCTGCAGTACTGGGTGTGTACACAAAAAAATAATCTGATCAACCATGTGATTACAAGTCGCCAGCTTGAATGATCAACACCGAGCCCATCCCTCTTCATCAGCTCTCGAATGATCTTTTGTGTTCATTTTGAATCAGAACGTGGCAGTGCTTTGTGTTGCTTCTGCATGGTTTTTGATAACCGCATTGAGGGAGAGAGGAGGAACACAGATTGTACATAAATGGGTGGCTAGTAGTGGCCAGATAAGTGTAAGTTACATGTTCGTTTATTTTTCATTGTTTTGAGTGATTCATCAGACATCATCATGTCTTGCCTTCCGCCGGTTCGCACTCTTTTATTTGGTTCATATGTAGGTACAGAGATGATAAAGACAATAATATTCACTTAATGTATTTTTTATGTAGTTTTGTTTCTTTTGACACACAAACAAGTGTTCATGGGTAAATATAGCTGCTTGTTTGAATAAGTGCATGTGTGCTTTTTTGCATTTTTGAGGAGCAGTTTCTCCACAACTTGAGCATTGAGGACAAAATAAGAGCCAAAAACAGACATGAGTGTGGATGATAACGACCATTCATCATGATCATGCGGACCAGTACAGTAGTAGGGCACATTAGCTAGTGCGGGAGGTGTGTGTAATTATGTTGTTCCCTCTGTTTCTGCTGGGCAACGGTAGACTGAAGAAGGAGGTAGTCCCAGGACACTGGGGGAACCGGTAAGCCTGCTAACCCCCTCTCCTCCTGTGCTGCTCTCTTTCTTTTTCGCCCTCTCTATCTGACCATTAATCCTCTTCATCTTATTATATTCCTCCTCTCCTTCTCTTGTGCTCAAACTTCTCCACCTATCATACTGTGGCTTTAAGGTTTTTTTTTTCCTCCGCCCGTCCCATGCGTCCTTCTTTGTCCGTGTGTGTCCTGTGTGTGTGGCTCTCCTGACGGTCCGTTCTCCGTCTGCACCTCTGGGCATGCGTTGGTTCTGTGCTGGGAGGTGCATGATGCAGGATGATCACTCCGAGGCTTGTGCTATCATTCCCACTGATAGGGGGCGATCATGCACCACTTTACCCAGTACTGTTGGGCTCATTGCGGAAGGGGACGCGTGGAGTGGTTAATTTTGCAACAGCGTGATACACCTGTATCAGTATGATGCCACCAGTGTGCAGACACTGACCTAGATATAGCCACAATTGACAATGTGGATCGGATAACTTAAACCAATCTGTTGAGTTATTTTGTATTTTCTCCAAAGTTGTCTGTGGTAGTGTTTTTCTGATGCAGGTGTATCATGTTTACATTTATAATCTGTGAATGTTTCAGTGTTTATGAATATCAAATGAAGCCCTTTGTATAAGTTGCTGCAGGTGGAACTTGGGGAGGAAACCTTTGAGATAATCATGTTTGCCCTTGACTGTCGACTCTTGCTAGACTGCATAATAAAATATCTTGTCACACCTTAAACAAAGTCCAGTAATGTATTTAAAGGAATTAATGCACATCTTGCAGCTCATAAAGTCTACATTATGCTTTTTAACATTCAGTATTTTGTTTAATGTGTGACGTTCTGCAGTCTGTTTCTATTGTTAGGAGTTCTTGTACTTTACAAAGCCAAGCTAAAAGGCCTGTGTTATTTTCCTCAACAGGAAGCCGAAGCAGTGGATCCAACCCCAGCGCAGGCAAAAGTAGACGCTCCTCCCCACAGGAAAAGGGTCAACGGTCAACATGCAGTGAGTCAGAGCCCCGCGTCCGTGGAGGGAGGCGCGGTGATCGGTCCGCCAGCCAAACGAGCCATCACAGCCACGCAGTCTCCAGTCACAGCCACGCCGTCTCCAGTCACAGCCACGCCGTCTCCAGTCACAGCCACGCCGTCTCCAGTCACAGCCACGCCGTCTCCAATCACAGCCACGCCGTCTCCAGTCACAGCCACGCCGTGTCCAGTCACAGCCACGCCGTCTCCAGTCACAGCCACACCCGCTCCAGCCTCAGTCACACTCAGTCACACAGGAGTCAGCCTCACTCTCAGAACAGCCACCCCTCCTTCACCTACAGCCACGCCCCCTTCACACTGCCAGGGCCCGGCTCGTGTGCCCACAGCGAGCGAAGCCACGCCTCCTCCTACGGGCCTCCAGGCTTGCCCCCCACTTATTGTTTGACCCGTCTGGCCCCCAAAACCTCCGTCAGCAGCAGCACGCCCCCCGGAGCCCCTCCTGGGAGAGAGTTAGCAGCCGTTCCTCCTGAGCTCACCGCCAGCCGCCAGTCCTTCCAGCATGCTATGGGCAATCCCTGTGAGTTCTTTGTTGACATCATGTGACAGGACAGTGCCTTCAAAACTGCTCGAGCACAACAAACAATTCTCCTCGAACCCCACTCTGCCCCTTCGCTCTTTTTCCTCTCAATCCTTTGCCTCTCCAAGTTCAGAATGTAGACACTGACAGGCCCTCTTCCTTCCCCCCCAATATCTGTCTATCCGTCTGATGTCCAAGTAAACAGGCAGCGAGAACACAACAGGGGGAAGGCTTCTCACTCACACAAGCACGGGTCCTCTGTGGCTGAAAACCCTTTTGTATTGACGTGACGTGTACAGTTTGTGAAACGTGAGTGGTATTCAGTGTGGTGATTCTTTAACGCTGCCACGTAGACATTTTGGGGAGTGTTTACTCTACCTGGAATATTTTCTGTCCTGCAAGACCTTTTAGCTGGCTGGGCCTGGATCTCAATCCCCCAGACCCAGGCCGACACCTACAGCCTGCCCTTAGGAACATTTCTCGGGTACTAGAACTTGAGATTGATCCCCTGACTCATATCTGTGCGTACAGATCAAATTCCGCACGTTACACCAAACCTCTGGCCCCATTTCCTTTGTACTGTGGCATTACCACAAGATGACTTAAAGGTGGGGTAGGTAATTTTGGAGAAACTAGCTCGAGTGCGCTAGAATTTGAAAATACACAGCCGGAAAGAATCTGCCACTTCCTCACAGAGCCCCTCCTCCAACACACACGAACGCGCACTTGACCAATGAGGGCACGAGATAAGTTTGTGCTCAGATGGAAGGCTGACAGGCAGGTAGGCCATCCAGTTATTTTAGCCGAGCCTGCTAAAATGATTGGTCGTGCTTTTTACAGCGCTACGGCTTCCACAGATGACATTTCTCTATGGATTTTTTGTCAAAGCACTTCAGATATTCATTGCTATCGGGATGTTAAGAGCATTCCATGGAATATAACAAAAAGTGTATCTCGAGCCGGTTTCTCAAACTTACCTACCCCACCTTTAAGCTCTTACCTGCCAACTACTAAAAAAGCTTGATTAGTTCAAGATCCGTCGATTTCTTCAATTTCGTAAGGGAGCCCTGTAGCCAGCCGTTAGTTTAACTAGGCTGCATATTGCATGACTGTCTCAACTGCTTTAAAGAAACTAAATTTTATGAATACATTTTGTTTAAAGTATTACCATTATTGAGGGAGGGGTTTACCTCTTGCCAATGTTCTAAAGGAAGAATCCGTACACTGGATGATTTTAGTGATGTTATTTATGTTGCATTGATGGTGTCGTACATTGTCTACTAAGGTTGACTGACAGACAATCAGACATCACCCCTTGTGAATCAGTGGCCAGTTTCTACTGTCCTAGCTGTGCTTTGTTGAATGTATCATTATTCCTGTCAGTGATTAAACCCAGACATTCTTAACACTTTGGTTTAAACTCATATAAGTAAGTTAATCAACTTAAAACAGGATTGCAAACAGTGGAGACCACAGCAAACTCAAAGTGTTGACATGAGATAAACCAATCTGCTGAAAGCATCATGGTTGTCTCCTTTGTAGCGAGTGTTAGCTTTGATAAAAGTCAGTGTGATTAACGCCAAAGCATCACAAGTTGTGGTGGATATTTCTTCATTTTGTACGAGCTGTCTATGACGTCTTTATGATTATTATCTGGCGCTTCTCATTTAAGAGTTCAAAGGGACTTCTAGGGGAATCCTGGCCTTTAAACTCTGATCTCCTTGCAAAACGATGGCAAATCCCTCTTGTTTCTACCTAAAATATAGTTACAAGATGGAAATAACACACAGTTTAATGAGCACTTTTCCATTTGTCTCTCCTTCCCCTTGGTATGAAACACTGTTTGCAATCAAAGCTTTCTCTGTAATTGTGTTTCTTTACAAAAGAAGAATAAATTGTACATAGAAATTTATTATATATATGAATAAAATATATATGTTCAAAATGATGTCTGCCTTTTCCATCGCGTTTGTTTTTGTTTTCGCAGGACCACTAGATGGAGACATATGTAATTGTCTCCTATTAACCCAAATTAGAATAATCCTTCAAAATCAAGAGAGTTTCTGAAAACGGACAGAGGTTATCGAGTAGACATCTTTGTAAAAAGTACTGTTTAATTGTAAGAGGTAAGAACACAACACCCAATGTGTCACCCGCACAATATTGAAATGACACTGAAACACTTAACACCATGAGAGGAAATTTCCGAGCACCAGCGCTACTGCGTGTACTTTCCCCGTGGGCTGTCGTTGCTCTTAAAAGGTTCAAATGTACTTTGAGCCCATACCCTGTCAGCTGGACCACCAACCACAGCAGTCTGAAGTATGTATTGTTTGATGGTGACGTCACACTCCCCCACTTGAGAGGATGTCCTACTGTATAAGACGTTTGTCAGGAAGGAAGTGATGTCAAAGCCTTATAATAACACCCTCGTCTGCAGAGGTAGACTAAAAAGTACCCTCCAAAAAAGAGGCAAGAGCGCAATGATCCGCATTACATTTATAATATGGATCATTATGTAAAATAAGTAGTTCCAGATTGACATGGTTGCAGTTTGACTCTCACTGAGCCGTTATGCAAATACACACACTCACACACTTATTTACCAGCAGCATAATAAGCATTACTACTTTACTAACTGAACATCTCAAAAGAATTTCCCAAGTCAGTATGTTAATTGACCTACTGGGGTTTACTGTGCTTCATAGCTGAATTTAGGGGGGTGGGGGTTGATGGTTAAGGGTGGGAGGTGTTTCTTAGCTAAGGGTGTGTAGGCGAATGAGGTACATACTTCAGACGTCACAGCCTTATATCAAATGTGTATGCCCTTAAAGTAGGCGGGCCATGATAGGCTTAGAAAGAAGCATTAATGTCAAAGGTGAAATCTTCCAAATGTCATTCAATCATGATTATGATGTATAAACATGACAAAGCAGGCAATCTTGTGGTATTGTGTTTTTTTGGGGTACTTTCTGAAGCTCAGTCATAAGATAAGATACAACTGAAGAAGTATGCTGTCACCTACCACCTGATCATTAGTCAGCAATTGTCCCATTCTCCAAAGTCAAAAATGTACTGGGAAATACCACTTCCCTTTGAAAGGAAATTCACTATTAAGTTGTTTAGAAAAAACACATCCCAATCAGCTGAAGGAAGTGCAGCATGTAAACACACATTTTTGGTTTCAGTTTCCACGCTTATTAGCCACTATTTAGCTTTAGTTTCTATTCTATCATAGATTTCATTTTTGTTGAGACAATGGTGGACCACAATCAGGAAAGTCCCCCTCACAATGGTATCAGATTAGGCTTTGTTTAGCAAACCAGGCAACCTAACATTATTTGAGGCTTGAATGTTTACAAGTTTTAAGTACAAGTACTTTACAGTTTAAAACAGGCACAATGAGAAAACATATTCTCATACACAAACAACTCTTTCTCAAACTGTCACCTTATTACATCTGGCCACTGAAATATAGCAAATATGCCAAAACAAACCACCACATTATTTTACCCTAATAGAAATGTGTATGAAATTGTCTAAAAAGTATGATGTTAAAATAGACATAGTTTAGTTTGTCAGAAAATATCATTCACATAAATAGTTATAAGATTAGCATAGTATTTAAAAAAGAGAATCAATGTGTATTAGCCTAAAGATATCAGAAAAATAAACTAAGTTATAGAATATCCAAAAAATCACAAAAAACAACGAAAAATATATTGTCAGAATTTCACCAAAAAGGGTAAATGTTGAAAAATTAACAAACGACATAGAATAGCATTTTGAAAAAAAACTTGAAACAATGTCAAAAATATCGCAAATAATGATATAATATAGGAAAAACAACATGGTATAGTATGTCGAAAGTTTCAGAACAAAAAAGTCATAGTATAGCAAGTCGAAAAAATGATATTTATATATATCTTGATTGTAGATTATTTTCCGTATCTCCAATCAAGATATATTATTACACATAGAAAATGTCCCCATATTTAGAGGATTCTGAACCCAACGTGGTTCAGCCTAATCATTTAAAATGTGTCGTTATTTCAGATGTAAAGTTTTGGCGAAAAGTAAAGAAGTCACCTCTTTCACCAATTCATTTGTTCTGATATTTTTGGATAACCTATATTGTGACTTCTTTCAACCAAGTAGAGTACTATGTTTTTTTCTGATATTTTTGACTACTGCATATTTGTAGTACGGCCGACACCACATGTGAATGTGTGAGCATGATGAGTTGTATGGCAGTCCTCTCACCACGTGCTCTGCGGCCGGCCTACTGCCACTACCTCTTTCCATGATTGATGATGCCTTCAATGACTAAGGGAGAAACATTTTCACAACTTGGGCAAGTTAGGCAAGTTATGCAAGTTATGCAAGTTTAAGATCTAGAGCAGGTGACTAAAACAACATGACAGGGCAAATTAACTGGCTTATTCGTCACACTGGTGGTGACCTTTGTAATTATCCTCAAATATAAATGAAAATAAATGTCACTGAAGTTATCTTATTAAATGATCAAAAAGAATTGCAACCATGTTATAGTTTTAAACATGTAGGGGTTTTAACTAACGTGTAACTGATTTAAAGTCACATTATTAACCACGTTATAGAATATATCAAACAAATAATAGAATAAAATAGAACATTATTTCAGGGGATTATTAGTACAGCCTACTTCAGGACACGCCCCCCTGAGTATAAATGCTCAGCTGCTTGGTTGTGAGTAAGTGAGTGCTTAGAGTGAGTCAGCTAAAGCCACAGCACAGAGATATTTCTTCATAGCATATTCCTTTTTCAAACCCATAACAGCTGACTCTCAAATAGACCTAAGCTACAGATTCAGAGAAACAAAAGAAGAATAAGTATCTTCTTTTTTCTTAAACAATAGTTAGTTACCTGCCATAGTTATTGGATTGGATAACCTACAGGCTGTTCTGAGGGGACTATGAGAGCTGACAGTATGGGATGGATCCTATGGGCTATAGGTGCCTCTGTGCTCATTCAGGGCTGTATGTGCAGTGCTCTGCAGACGAACAGTGGCTGCATGAAGTGGACCGAAGGACTAGGAGACAATGTTTGCTGTGAAGCCTGTAACCCTGGTAAGTAATAGCAGAGATAATGTCCATTACAATTCTGTATGGTTGTGAATTAATTGATTTAGTTCATTTATATGCAAAGATAATACTGGTAATACTGGGCTATAAAAGTTTAAAGTATCAAAATAAAAAGTTAACCTATATGGATGTGAACAACTCATATTCCAGCAGTTCCTCTGCGGTGGTGACTTGAAACCAAATATAGTTTCAGTGGTTTTTCAACTAATACCACAACAAAGAGAAAAGGCTAGGATGGTGGAACTGATCAATCTAATAATTTGGATCTGTGATAAATACTAGAATGTCAGTAACGGTTCTAAAAGTTTACCTGCTCTCGTTATGAACACCTTTTACTATATGGAAACAATTTATCTAATTGATGTCAGCTGTAACAGAGATTACAGTATAGCTTTTTGTGTCTGTTTTTTCTTTATGTTTTTATAAGTCTATACAGTATATTTTTTCTATTTGTCTTCTATTCTTATGAAAATACTTGTCTTTTATGTCTGTGTAGCTTGACGTGGAAACAATTTACATTTGATTCTTAAACCAAATATAAAATGACCAATAAATGAACCCTTTACCTTGACCCTTGTCTTTAGGACACCGCCTAATCACAGGATGTGGCCCAAAGCTAAAAGGGCTCTGTACTCCCTGTGAGGCCGGGAAATACATACTGAAACCTACAGATCTCAAATGTCAAAGGTGTTCACAGTGTGTAGGTACGTAAGCAGATCCAGACATTTCTTTACGAGCTACTACAAGCGTTCATTTCCACAAACAATCCTTTCAACTCTCTTTCTATATCTTTGAAAATGTAGGTGCTCAGGTCATGGTGAAAGAGTGCACTGCCACGACTGACACACAGTGTGGCTGCAAAGAAGGACTGACCTGTGGGGATGCCAAATGTTCCTTTTGTGTTAAAAAGTGCGACAAAGGTCAGGAACCCACAGAGACACGTAAGTAAAAATACGCTCATGACACATAAACATTCAATTTAGAGGTGATGTTGAGTGGCAAGTCAACTGAATGATTTTCGGCACAGGTTCTTGCAGACCATGTCCAGAAGGAACCTTCAATGACCAAATTCACCAGAGGTGTAAACCCTGGAGCACAGAGTGAGTTGTTACCCTGATCTCCGCAATTTGTTGTTTCTCAGCTTCACTGACTGTCCGATGTGATGAAAACTCTGATGTAAACTTTATTTTTCTCAAAGGTGTCAACATATTGTGACCAAGGGAGATGCACTTTCTGATATTACGTGTGGGGATGTTTCCGTTGACAGCTCAAAGAAACCTGGTAGGTTGATATTCTTTTTCTCTAGTGTGTTTTGGTTGTTTTTTCCTAAATCCAGCAATAATGTCTTGCTATTTCTTGTGACAGGTCCCGCAGAACAGGGATGGCCATTGTCTGTGGTCGCCACTGTGGTTCTGAGTGTGTTTAGCATAATCATCGTCCTTTTCATCACCATTTTGGCCAAGAAAAACAGCAACAAAAAAAAGGAAGACGTAAAAAAGCCAATCACATCAACGCCGATAATCACAACACCTACAGGTAGTCACCACTGCATTTCACGATAAACTATCCCAACCATATTACATGAATGATTGGGATTATGAAATATGTCTCTCAAGCCAATCTCAAATACAAGAAACAAAGTATTAAAATGTTCCTCTTTCACTTCCACAGATGATCCCAGGACGCTGATAGCAGTAGAGTGCAGTTTCCACGAGGCTCAGCAGGAGCAGGGCAGCCGCTCAGAGTTGATCGGATCCAGAGGCTCTTCGGATCAGTTCATCGCATGAATCAAAGGGGATTTTGTTACTGTTCCACACTGAAGGCCATATTTTGTTTTCGTTAAATGCAGTGAGAGGGAACAGGATATCTTTAATAAGATAAGGTGCTTGTTTTGTATACTGAACCAGGAGGAAGTCTTTTTCCTATGTTGGCTCTAAATGAAAAAGAGTAATTTGTTTACCCAGCTGTCTTTCATCCACCATATTTTGCTTTTATTAGAACAACCAAAACTACAGGGAAACTCTTGATAGGACAGGTATGAGGTCATATTTCGCTCTACAAGAATATAATTGTATCTTTTAACAATTAGATACAGTGTCATCAGGGGGAATTCTGTGGGAAAATACAAAACCATACAACAGCCTATTCATTCACCATGTAGATAATCAGACTGTATTTCCCTTTTCGGTCAGCTTGAAAGATAAGGGGGGAGTCAGTGAGCTGGGAAACGTTATGACTGATTAACCATGGCACCAGATAAAAATACATTCCATAAAAAAACGACGGTCTTTAGAAACCTGAGTAAATTATTTCCAAACAAACTGGACTTGTGCCGATGGACTGTGAAAATGTAGTGAAGTGTTTGAAATGAATGAGTTTTTGACTACTGTGATATTTACATGAGCAGTAAAGAGCTCTGTGTGAATGTGGGTAGGAGTAAGACTGACAGCAGACAGTTTGTAGTCATGCTTCAGGCTTAGCCCACATATTCCTCCAAAAATAGATGTTTTTGTTTTACTCATAGCCTGTTGTTCAACCTAGTTATCGGTTTATTGCTGAATTTGTACATTTCTCTATGTTACAGCTGACAAACTAGAACAATAGTGTGTCGATCATGATTCTATGCTGCCTCAGATGATAGGTTGTTACATATATTTATTTTATGCATCTATCGAAGATAGATTTGTGCATTATAGCAAAGCGTTAATACAGCATGACATATTTTCTCTTTCATTTTATTTAACATTGCCAGGAAGTACATGGACTTTCCAACAGCTGCTTAATTGGTGTGAAAAAGTCCAGAGCCGGGAGTTTCCCTTTTGCCAACAAGTAATCGTACCATAGGTTAAAGCACCTGGGAATGTAGTGTCTGCTTATCATGTTGGTGCTTTGGCTTCAGTTGACCCTTTTTGAGCAGGTTGAGGCATGCCTCTTGAGCAACAGTTGGGAAACACAGTGGGTATCCCAAGAGGAATGTCTATTGAGATGAAATATCAAACAATGCGATTAGTCATGGCTATTTATGATTTCTGATAAATGACTCATTTGGAAAATCCTCATGACATTGAATTGCAATTAAACAATCCTCATAAAATATCAAGAAGAGGCTCAAGGGTCAGATGGAAACCCCCTCGTCAGAATTGTACTTCTTATTGCACAATGGAGTGGGCATCTAGATCAGATCAAGTGGAACTTCTCACAAACGCATGTCGATCTTAAACTGAACTGTAGCAGGCGTATGTTTGTATGAAATGGAACGTTTGAGTAATGTGTTGCGTGGGATTAAACGTAGTCCACACCTATATGTGTGAGTAAAGACGTATGAGTCACAACCCATGGGTGGTGAGGTCTGTACAAAGACCACAGAGCTTCAGGTGCTGCCTTCACTTACCACAGGCTGTTATACAGTAACATGTTTATACGAACTGTAGCACTTTACTGTTATCTGATGTATGTATGAACTTCTTATCTGATGTATGTATGAACTTCTGAGTTGTTTCGTATATAAGTTAAGCTGTCTGCCTTATCATTGTTATTTGATTTATATCCTCACAACTGTCCAGGATTACACTCTACTATGCTGTTACACTCTACTATGCTGTTACACTCTACTATGCTGTTACACTGTACTATGCTGTTACACTGTACTATGCTGTATGTTTAGGAGTTTTCAAATAGCCAATATAATAGGATTTATTTTTTTATTTGTTGCATTTAAATACATTTACAACAATTGCATTCATAGTGGTCCACTTAAGCTGTGGCATATATTTTTTATACGTATAAAAAACACACAACCAAAAAACACAACAAATAGTGTTTTAAATGTGGAGGTTATATATATGATCATACAAAATAAAAATGCTTGTTAGAAAAAATGTTTCTGTGTATTGAATAAGGCTGCCATCATTACTGTCTGATGTTTTTAAAATCCACCTGGAAAATAAATACATTAACCAAGTTATTTCAACTTAAAATGAAGGGATATAGTATCATTTAGACATTTCAAAATGTTGTAATGGTTGTATGTTTTTCAAAAAACCCTTTAGTAAGGGTTAAATATGTTCATTTGATTGTCATCGTACTATTTTAAACTTGGCTGGAGCCATGCCAAACTGCTTGAGACAAAGTAGCAGGCACTCAGAAAGGGGAAGTCTTAAAGTAGCTTGTCTAAGATCACATCATTCAGGTTCAAAGTTTATACAAGGAACTTCTTGTTTTGTCATTTTAAATATTGGACGCTTTTGGAAGAGGCACAGAGCCAACCGGTCAGCCTGAGATTTTCGGCCTTAATTGGTAACATGAAGACATAATGGATGGATACTCACTGCTTAACTAAATAAAAACTAATTAAAGTAACAAATCGATAGAAAAAACACAAACTGTTTAAATTAAACACTCATTAACACTGAGAATTAAAATACTTTGATGAACCAACATTTTCCCTTTGAAAACCGTTACAGAATGAGTAATTATTCACTTAGTCAAGAAATATTGTAAAATGTCACTTCTGATGTGTTCCACTGGTCTAAAGTGCTAGTAGGGGGAGCTGGGAGAGAGAACTTAATCCTCTGTAGCTGCACTGATGTTTAGTGTTATATAATATATATATGCACTCCAACAGCGTGTTGAAAATTATTGTTGTTTGCAATTTTCCTTCTTCTCTTTGGGTTTTGAGCGTCCTGATTTGTCCGTTTGCCGTTTTGTCGGTGGGATGAAAGCAGGCTCTTCGAGTAGGTTGTGTAAGCCAGGATGTGGCATAGGAAGTGACTGACAGGTTGGACCTGCAATAAAAGAAAACAGGATGTGAGGGTCCACCCATTGTGGTGAAAGCTTCATCTTCCCTGTTTTTACCGACCTGCCTGTCCCACTCTGAGGCTCTCGGGGTCCGGCCTCCCGGCCCTGAAGGTCGGGTCCAGTTCCTCCGCAATGTTTCTGATCGGCTGGGCTTGTCTGTAAGCGCACATTTGAACGTCAGCATGTAAAGTAGATGCAAGACATATGGTACAAATACAGAATCAATGTCGTGTATTTTCATGTAGAGACAATTACGGTATTGTGGAGAAGGTGCTGGGTGGCTGGTTCTCTGGGGAGCAGTCCTCAGGAGGGGAAGGAAGGCCCTCTGAGTCAAGCCTCTCTCGTTGGACCTAAGTGGACAAATCAGCAAAAGCTTATTTATATAGCCCAATATCTCAAAACTCATTTATCTCAGTTAAAGATTAGCAACCATACATGACAGCACCAAAAGACAAACAAAACCACCACAAAAATAACAAAAACACAAAATAGAACGTGATATCAATAATACATAAATAAAATTGATACAAATAAAATTAGATAAAGTACATTTAAAAAAACATAAATGTAGGACTCATAGGGCAATCTTAAAACAGCTTTAACTATAGACCATAGACTTTTTTTTAACAAGAATTGTTATAATTTCATCACCTTGTTAAAATAAATTATTAAAATGATTATTGTAGCAAGTCAAAAGAGCAAAGAAAGACATTCAAGACTGTAACAGTTTGAATGATTTACAACACGTGTACCGGTCTGTCTCTTGAAGCCCGTCTGTCGTGATGACTGATCATCGATCTGTGCTCGCGCCACGACGACGGCCCTTCGAGCTCGCGGGATCTTCGCTTTGTCTTCATTTCTTGCTTCTGCATAAAGCGGGCTATTTCCTAGGGTTAAATAACAATGCATCATTCCAAAGGTAGATATTAACAATGGATGCATGGATAGTGATGACATGTTTTGTACCTCATCCTGCGCCACTTGTGCTGCTCTGAAGTCTCCCTCTGGGTAAGGACTACATGGAGAGGGCTCTGTATTCTGCACAAAACAGAAGTGAATGAAAAGAGAAACTGACTTTTTGTCCTTAACTCCTAAATCACAGCATGTCAAGAGAAACTCTTACCCTCCTCAACAGCTTTTCCTCTTCCTCCTGCAGCTTTTGAGCAAGTTCTTCATCCTTTAGGACCTGATGCAGCTCCCCCAGGTCCAGGCTCTCCCCCACTGGCTCCGGTTGCAATGACTCTCCTGGGGGGGGGGGGGGAATGACTGTTAAATTCAAAGGAACCGAAGTGTGATGCATACATGGAGTAAGGAAAGTCCATAACACATGAAAATCAGGGATGAATCACACAAATGTTCTGAAACAGAGGCAGCGATGACATTTGAATCACACTTAGAGATGAAAGGATGCAGCATGTAAGGGCATGCTGCTAGGTGTTTTTTTTTTAAAAGGCACCCCTTAGTACTTATCCCCTCACCACATCAAAACTAAAAGGAATGAAGATGAAGATAAGAATGAAAGCCCACACTAAAGATTGTTTCAGGACTACTGGAGTCATAGATGTGGACAGGAGAGACCTTCAGTGAGAGACCCCAAGTGAAACCCACATTAGTCCAGATTAGACGATGATTGAGGGAAGATGAAAGGAGTGGATGTACACAGAGAGGTGTACATCTTTGGAAGTCTTTTCTCTGCAGATTGGAGTTGGCGGCAGTTCTGGGTTTTACCTGCTGCCTCGTGCCTCGACCTATCTCCTGTTGGAGCCCGGCTGCTGCTGCTGAGGCTCTGGCTGCGCTGTGAGGCTCTGCGATGGGGCCGCTCCACTCTCCTCTCCACCTCCTGCTCCTCCTCTGAGCTCAACCTTTCCTCTATGGTCTGGTGCCAACGCCTGCGTTCGCTCGTTGTCCTTTTGACCCTGCTTCCATTTGTATTCCTCTCCCTCTCGTCATCATTAGTGTATCCGTGCTCTTTCCACCTTCTGCTGCCTCCCCTTTCTCTGCTAGGAAGATGTGAGTCTCTCCGACTAATCTCATAAACCTTTTCATCATGCTCCACATTATTTTGCAGCCGGTCTTCTGTGTGATCTCTCCCACTGTTCTCTCGGTGTGACGACCTCCTCCTCTCCCGGGTATCTCCATGGAAACTGTGCCTGGTGTTGGCAGCTCTTTGGAAGACTCTCTGATGTGGTAGGGAGTCGCCGCAGGAGACCTCACTCCCATGAAGCACCTGGCTGTCTCTGCTTTGAGGCCCTATTTGAAGTGGCGCCCCGTTGCCGCCCAACCTCACAGGCACGCCCCTCTCTCTGAGGACCTGGCCCAGCATCTCCCAGACTCCTCTGCTCTTACCCTGCTGCGGCCTTATAGAGCTCCTGGAGTTGTCCTGAAAATGCACACGTTTGTCGGGGTTGTCCCTATAGCTCCAGGTCCTCGCTAAGTCTTTGTTGTTGTGTTGACCCCCGTCGTGTAGCCTGACAGATTCACTACGACTACATCGCTTTTCTCTTACTTCCACTAACCTACAGTCTTTATCCTGATCCCTGCTCCTGTGCGAACCCTCATACTCCTCACTATGGCACCTTGCTTGATCCCAAACTCTGGGCCTCCTCTCCTCTAGGTCGGCATTTTCATAATGTTCCTGATTCAACTCTCCTCTCTCTTGCTCTGTAAAGCTGCTACGAGAGGAAAGACTTCTACAGTTTCTCTCTTCTGGCTGATTTGAAGATGCCCGTCGTCGAGGGGGTGCCGTGTTGAGTCTTTCATTCAGTCTCTGGGACCAGACAGTGAGCTGTTCAGAGAACACTGTGTCCGAGTCCTCTGAATCCTCACTCACACGCTCACCCCTGATTCCCCTTTTGGAATCTGCGTGTCCTTGATTTGACCCTGAATTTGTGTTTCTCTGAGCTGCTACCCCCCTGAGGGAGTCAGCCTGAGGACGAGTTAAGTCTGAATGGTTGAGAGAGGTAGAACATTGCCACCTGCTGGTGCTAGATGAGTACTGCTCCTCCCCTTGGTGTGGGCTGCTGAGTGTGTGCTGGTGTGGAGATGGCAGTGCAGGATCACTGGTGCTGCCTTTAGTAATGCCAACATGCAAACACAAAAGCAGGGTGCATGGGTGAGGCTGTTAGCAGGAACTATTAAAGAGGTGCTGTTATTATAAGGTAATACACTGCATTCAATATATGTATTATATCAATGTTTTAGACACAACTAAAACATTTGGTAACATGAATACCTTGTAAACACAACATTAAAAGACATGCATGTTAGTTGCAGCTGATTCATAACATTATGGAGATAAAATACTGTAGATGTTTGGAATGTTTTGTTCATGCTGTTATATATTGAGAGAGCGTGTTAAAGTAGAACAATAATAGGCATTAGCAGTGCAGCAAAGCATGGTTACAGAGAGGCTGAACAAGCTGTGGTGTTTGTCTTACATTAAGTGCAACTGAAAAGTCTCTCAATCTTAGAAACAAACCCACATACTATACCAAGTACACAACACACTTTTCTTTTTCAATAAGTCCCTACAAACTAAACAAATCCTCACAATCTATTAAAGATTTGTTTGCAGTATCTAATGTTCGCTGACAAATGTTCTCAAATAGGAATAGAGGCAGAACAAAGACGGTACCTTCACTGCCCTGCCCTCTGCTCCGCCTCGTGATTCTCTGCTTCTCCTCTTCTTGCAATCGTTTAGCGATTTCCTGTGGAGACACAGACATGTTGAATGCTTCTCTGCATTGTAAACCATAATGAGTAACCTATTAGGAATCTAGGCTAAATGAAGATTACAGAGTGCTAAACTGAGCAGTCGAATAAGGAAATAAAAGTAGATACATTCCTAGTCCTTTTTAGGCTATGAAAATAATGATCTATTAGATTGAAGTGACTAAGCTACAACCTTTTATTTCACCCAGTATCAAAGTCAATAATAAGATTATAAACTTATTTTTGGCTAATTCATTTAAAATCAAAACATAATTATGAACATGATAATGAAATGATCTGGATAATAGCATTACAAAATGTCAACAAGCTCCACTCACAGAGAGGATTTACCGCTGGACGGCAAATAAAGACATACTTGTATCTGTGCCGTTTCCAACCAGCAGATGGCAGCATAACATAGAAAGTGTAAGAAGAAAGCAAGGTGGCATCTGTTTCCACAAGCTACTTCAAAATAAATCATATTACAAAATCTATAGGACACTTTGAATGTAATCTAATATATGCCTTTCTTATTTCCACAATGTACAACAAAGTATCTTGCTGTAGATGCTGCTTGTCTGTTTAACATCACCATGTTCTTCCCTAAAGAGCTTGAGGTTCTATTTGATTTGATATACATGTATATATTATAAGCTTTCAAGTCACAACACAAAGAAAACATGAAACCAAATTCTTTACCCCGTTCAGAGGTGATTGGATTTACTGAGTTTACATCAAGCAGGAATGTAATTAATCTACATCCGGCATGTCTACAGAGCCGCTCACCGAATGCATGTTGGTTGACATTGTGCCACTTCTGAGGTGATCTGACATCTGAGCTCTGAGTAGCCACACCTATTACTTCAGGCAGAGCTGTAGCTGACTCTATGGAGACTAGTAGACGACATGAGAGACAAACAAACTGTTAATCTCCTTTAGCATGAACTCTGGAGCGGAAACACTCCAACAGAAGCAGGGTAACAACGGGACTGTTACACCTGAAGTAACAGCTTGTCACTGGGGAATGCCCACTGACCAAAGCTGATGTACTTGACTGCTCTCTGAAGGAGAACCACCCACCATGTTCTGTTACTTTCCATTTAAAAGGCTAATAATGTTCTTCACAAATCAGCTAATTCTACTGGTGAATTCTATAAAACCTCTCTGGAGGCCGCAGTTTGCAACATCATAACTAAAAGCCACCACAGCTCCTTTTGCTTTACAATCCGGGCTCGCGTGTCCACCACTTTGCCAGCATCAGCAGACAATAAGCAGCTTGCCATGGCAGGTGAGGCGTGGGGGGCCGCGGGGATCTGGCATTTAAAAAAGTGCACAGTCTGGTGCATTCTGTTCATTAATTAAAGACACAATCTACAGGGAGGCAAATATTTAATCAACAGCTCTGATCAGCCGCTCATTAAGGAAGGCTAACGGGAGAGTTCATAGTTAATCATTTAATCCTTACATTAATACTCTTAAAAATAAATGATAACATGCACACAGGAATAGATGCCATTTGTTGGATAACCTAGCATGACTTTTAACCCAGTGGGTGAAAGTCCCCTTTATTCCCAGTGTAGTGTAGACACTTCATGTTGGTTCCAACTTACCCAGAGTGTTCAAAGCCAAACCCCTTCAATAACGATGAATGAGCCCCACGGCCTCTGACCTCACAGCCTCTAAACAAGGAGCTTTTATAAGCCCGTCCAAGGCAGCCTGCTCTAAAAAGGAAACTGCAGGCTAAAGGAAAATATTATGCCGGAGCGGCTTTGTGACGCAGACCACTCGGCCGGGCCAGCTGGGGAGCTTCATGGCAGTTGGCTTTTTCCCCCACAATGCCCTTTTTCTTACACAGCCCAAATCTGATGTTGAGAAATGCACATGGGGGTGTAAACATGCACAGACCGTAAGATGGTTTTGAGGCTCTGGGCACTGGAACAACAACAGAGAGGAGATTGATGGGAACCATCTGGTTGCCCAGTCGTGCTGGGGTTGCAACTTCAAGAACAACTGCTTATGTATTTACAAAGATTTAGACAGACCTAGTGCTGTCCCTCAATTTAGAACTAGGGTAAATGAAAAACAAAAGGCAATCATCACTGCAAAATGTAGATCTTGTCATATGCGTTTTAAATATGTTACCATATTGTTTACGACCAAAAACAAGAGCGCTCTTAGCTCTGTGAGGCTTTCTTTTTGGCTACATTTGAATATCAGCATGCCAACATGTCAATATTAACATGCTGATGTTCAGCAGGTATGGTCAGGATCTCATGTTAACCCAATACTATTTGCTCATTAGTATTGAGAACAAATAACAACTGTGGTGGATGAGAATATTTTGCATGTATTAGGTCATAAACTGAAGTCTCAGACAAATTCCGTTTTTGACCTGATGATGGCACCAGATGGAAAGTGATGGGATTACTAAAGTTAATACGATTTAATAAGAGGGGAAATGATTGTCTGTCCCACATGTTTTGTAGATTTTCAGTCTGGTTTAAAGCTGGTGGACAGAAGAATCTATCGAAGTGACGCCGCTAGCAGTGAAAAACTATCCTTTAAATCAAACTTAAAATGTGTATAACATTTAAAGGAGAAATTAAGTAACATGGTCGATCTGTTCAATGGAAAGGACAAGCAAAAAAGCCTGAGTCACTTTCTTGATTAAAAACAGCGTATAGATAATGTTTTTACCTAACCTGCCTCATACTCAAACTGCACAGTTAAGGTTGTACACATGTCAAGTGTGCTCATCCTGTGAGGCTTAATAAGCACATGAGTGTGCTCTGTACGAAGAGGTTGATGGGCAACGACTGGAATTCACCACCAGAGGAATAGCTGGAGATGGGTATCTGACAGGTTGTGTCTCTCTCTGTTTAACAGCTGACTTTGCTCATACATCAGAGGCGCCGGGCAGCACTCTGCAGCAAGAGCCATTTATTATGGATTCAGTCAGTCCTAAGAGAGCGCAGAGTGAACCATATCATACTCCCTGACCTGCTGGTAACAAGGAGATAATTAAATGATATACAAGTATGTCCTGGTAGCCATAAAAGTCTATGAGTCCCTGTGCTGAATGAGCTGCAGTTTACGGTGATGTTTTAAGTTTGTGCCAAGTCCTCTGTGTCCAGAGCTCTTTAGTTTAAGTTGCACGGAAGCATTCATCTACTTTCAAAAGCAGCTTTATTTTCTGCACCACGTCCAACAGAATGCAACATTTACTGGGTCCGATAATCCTATTGCATTTTCCATTAACACTTTGTCTATTGTGGCTCTAACCAGATACTTACTTCTTACATCAGAAATCTATTGTAACTGACAGGAAAGCAACTTTAAACCCTACGTTGGTGAGTGGTGGATACTCAAAGAGGCCTTTTAGGTGGAATATCCCTTTAAGAAATACTCTTCCCCCTAACGTTCTGTTTAATCACTGCATTGGGCCAACTTGTCCATAAAGGAAAGCGTCTCGCTGTGCTCCGGTTGCTGACGGTAACCTGACACCCGCAGGAAAGGATTTGTTCCTCTTTCAGTAGCAAATCTCTTGAAATGTTTTGATGACACTTTTGCTTTCATATTATGTCTTTCGAACAACTTTCGGTTCCAAGCTTACCTCGACCATTTTCAACCTTAATCAGTCACTCAAGGGGCATGACTACTTCTATGTTCCACAACATTCCCTTTATAGTTATGGTGAAAAGAAAGATTATAATTTCCATAATTAATATCATATAATTGACTGAAGTGAGGGTCCTTTCTATTGTGAGTTTCCTCACATCAGCTTTCAAGCATCAGGTGAACTGAGTGCATGCTTTGCTGTCTTCTGTGATGGTCGGACAAGTTCAAATGTCCATGACTTTCTCAGTATTTGCTCAATCTCGCTTGCCTTTTCATCCATAAAGGGACTACTTACTGATTGTTTTCACTGCAAAAGAGGATCAAATCGATATTTGAATTTGCATTTGTTGATTTAGCAGTCAGAAAAAAAATGGCTAGATCTGTAATGTACTAATTAGAGAAATCTTAACTAGACGCAGACATAATAATACATTTCCCAACAGTCTTTTTCTCACCTCATCCTCCTGCTCCCTCCTCCGGGCCTGCTCAGAACAGCGCTGGATCTCCTCCTGGATTAAACGAGCGTACTCAAAGTCTTCCTCCTCTCTAGCAGACAGAAAGGTAAGACAATTACTTTTTACACTTGTGACTCATGTTATATACCAACATGGTTTCTAACGGATGAGCGTTACACCAATTTAAATAAAAATAACATAATGCATGGTAAATCTTCAGTTAAGTAAGTAAGTCAAACTTTATTTATATAGCACCCTTCTCAACACGGATGTACAAAGTGCTTTACAGTACACAATCCACAGTACAACTATAACATGTAGAATAAAAGGCATAAAACAACATACCAGTTAAAGAAAGCTACAAACTCACCTCCTCCGACGACCCAAAGGCCTGTCGGAAGAGGTGGGTCTTTAACTGTCCCTTAAAAATCTCTATTGAGGCAGAGGTTTTTATTTTCTGGGGGAGTTCGTTCCATAGCCTTGAAAGGCACGGTCACCCTTGGTCTTTAGCCTGGTTCGGGGTACCCTAGGAGGCCTTGGGGTGGATCAGGTCATTGATGTAGGCTGGGGCTTGGCCATGGACAGCTCTATATGTAAAAACTAGGACCTTAAATTGGGTTCTGAGATGAACAGGGAGCCAGTGCAGGGCAGAAAGGATCGAAGTGATGTGGCATGTTTTTTTTGGAACGAGTGAGCAATCTGCCTGCAGCGTTTTGGACCTGTTGTAACCGGTTTATTGAAGTTGTGTTGAGGCAGGAGAACAGAGCATTACAGTAATCAAGCCGGGATGAAATAAAGGCATGAATAGGCATCTCCATTTCTGCGTTTGATAGAACTCCCCTGAGCTTGGCAATGTTTCTGAGATGGAAAAAACAGGTACGGGTCAGGAGTTTGATGTGTTTGACTCTAGTAGCATAGACTGATCGAAAGTTACACCAAGGTTTTTTATGTTTGCCCTTATGTTACCACTGAATGAACCCAGGTGGCTTGCTACCTTAGAGGCGATGCTATCAGCCGTTTTCGAAGCATTGAGCTGTACAGTGAGAGATGTGTTACAGTGTGAGATGTGTTACAGTGTGAGATGTGTTGGAGTGTGAGATGTGTTACAGTGTGAGATGTGTTACAGTGTGAGATGTGTTGGAGTGTGAGATGTGTTATAGTGTGAGATGTGTTGGAGTGTGAGATGTGTTGCAGTGTGAGATGTGTTGGAGTGTGAGATGTGTTGGAGTGTGAGATGTGTTAAAGTGTGAGATGTGTTGGAGTGTGAGATGTGTTACAGTGAGAGATGTGTTACAGTGTGAGATGTGTTACAGTGTGAGATGTGTTACAGTGTGAGATGTGTTACAGTGTGAGATGTGTTACAGTGTGAGATGTGTTGGAGTGTGAGATGTGTTACAGTGAGAGATGTGTTACAGTGTGAGATGTGCTGCAGTGTGAGATGTGTTGGAGTGTGAGATGTGTTGCAGTGTGAGATGTGTTACAGTGTGAGATGTGTTGGAGTGTGAGATGTGTTACAGTGTGAGATGTGTTACAGTGTGAGATGTGTTGGAGTGTGAGATGTGTTGCAGTGTGAGATGTGTTACAGTGTGAGATGTGCTGCAGTGTGAGATGTGTTGGAGTGTGAGATGTGTTTGCAGTTGTGAGAATGTGTTACAGTGTGAGATGTGTTGGAGTGTGAGATGTGTTACAGTGTGAGATGTGTTGCAGTGTGAGATGTGTTGCAGTGAGAGATGTGTTACAGTGTGAGATGTGTTACAGTGTGAGATGTGTTGCAGTGTGAGATGTGTTACAGTGTGAGATGCGTTACAGTGTGAGATGCGTTGCAGTGTGAGATGCGTTACAGTGTGAGATGCGTTACAGTGTGAGATGCGTTACAGTGTGAGATGCGTTACAGTGTGAGATGTGTTGGAGTGTGAGATGTGTTACAGTGTGAGATGTGTTGGAGTGTGAGATGTGTTACAGTGTGAGATGTGTTGGAGTGTGAGATGTGTTGGAGTGTGAGATGTGTTACAGTGTGAGATGTGTTGCAGTGTGAGATGTGTTGGAGTGTGAGATGTGTTGGAGTGTGAGATGTGTTGGAGTGTGAGATGTGTTGGAGTGTGAGATGTGTTGGAGTGTGAGATGTGTTACAGTGTGAGATGTGTTACAGTGTGAGATGTGTTACAGTGTGAGATGTGTTGGAGTGTGAGATGTGTTATAGTGTGAGATGTGTTGGAGTGTGAGAGGTGTTACAGTGTGAGATGTGTTGGAGTGTGAGATATGTTGGAGTGTGAGATGTGTTACAGTGTGAGATGTGTTAAAGTGTGAGATGTGTTAAAGTGTGAGATGTGTTAAAGTGTGAGATGTGCTGCAGTGTGAGATGTGTTACAGTGTGAGATGTGTTACAGTGTGAGATGTGCTGCAGTGTGAGATGTGTTACAGTGTGAGATGTGTTACAGTGTGAGATGTGTTGGAGTGAGAGATGTGTTACAGTGAGAGATGTGTTACAGTGTGAGATGTGTTACAGTGTGAGATGTGCTGCAGTGTGAGATGTGTTGGAGTGTGAGATGTGTTGCAGTGTGAGATGTGTTACAGTGTGAGATGTGTTACAGTGTGAGATGTGTTGGAGTGTGAGATGTGTTACAGTGTGAGATGTGTTACAGTGTGAGATGTGTTGGAGTGTGAGATGTGTTGGAGTGTGAGATGTGTTACAGTGTGAGATGTGTTACAGTGTGAGATGTGTTACAGTGTGAGATGTGTTACAGTGTGAGATGTGTTACAGTGTGAGATGTGTTACAGTGTGAGATGTGTTACAGTGTGAGATGTGTTACAGTGTGAGATGTGTTGCAGTGAGAGATGTGTTGCAGTGTGAGATGTGTTGCAGTGAGAGATGTGTTGCAGTGAGAGATGTGTTACAGTGAGAGATGTGTTACAGTGAGAGATGTGTTGCAGTGTGATATGTGTTACAGTGTGAGATGTGTTGGAGTGTGAGATGTGTTACAGTGTGAGATGTGTTACAGTGTGAGATGTGTTACAGTGTGAGATGTGTTAGAGTGTGAGATGTGTTACAGTGTGAGATGTGTTACAGTGTGAGATGTGTTACAGTGTGAGATGTGTTGCAGTGTGAAATGCGTTGGAGTGTGAGATGTGTTGGAGTGTGAGATGTGTTACAGTGTGAGATGTGTTGCAGTGTGAGATGTGTTGGAGTGTGAGATGTGTTACAGTGTGAGATGTGTTACAGTGTGAGATGTGTTACAGTGTGAGATGTGTTACAGTGTGAGATGTGTTACAGTGTGAGATGTGTTACAGTGTGAGATGTGCTGCAGTGTGAGATGTGTTGGAGTGTGAGATGTGTTGCAGTGTGAGATGTGTTACAGTGTGAGATGTGTTGGAGTGTGAGATGTGTTACAGTGAGAGATGTGTTACAGTGTGAGATGTGTTGCAGTGTGAGATGTGTTGCAGTGTGAGATGTGTTACAGTGTGAGATGTGTTACAGTGTGAGATGTGTTGCAGTGTGAGATGTGTTGCAGTGTGAGATGTGTTACAGTGTGAGATGTGTTACAGTGTGAGATGTGTTACAGTGTGAGATGTGTTACAGTGTGAGATGTGTTGCAGTGTGAGATGTGTTGCAGTGTGAGATGTGTTACAGTGTGAGATGTGTTACAGTGTGAGATGTGTTGCAGTGAGAGATGTGTTGCAGTGTGATATGTGTTACAGTGTGATATGTGTTACAGTGTGAGATGTGTTGCAGTGTGAGATGTGTTACAGTGTGAGATGTGTTACAGTGAGAGATGTGTTACAGTGAGAGATGTGTTGCAGTGTGATATGTGTTACAGTGTGAGATGTGTTGCAGTGTGAGATGTGTTGGAGTGTGAGATGTGTTACAGTGTGAGATGTGTTACAGTGTGAGATGTGTTACAGTGTGAGATGTGTTACAGTGTGAGATGTGTTGGAGTGTGAGATGTGTTGGAGTGTGAGATGTGTTACAGTGTGAGATGTGTTACAGTGTGAGATGTGTTACAGTGTGAGATGTGTTACAGTGTGAGATGTGTTGCAGTGTGAAATGCGTTGGAGTGTGAGATGCGTTACAGTGTGAGATGTGTTACAGTGTGAGATGTGTTGCAGTGTGAGATGTGTTGGAGTGTGAGATGTGTTACAGTGTGAGATGTGTTACAGTGTGAGATGTGTTGGAGTGTGAGATGTGTTACAGTGAGAGATGTGTTGCAGTGTGAGATGTGTTACAGTGTGAGATGTGTTACAGTGTGAGATGTGTTACAGTGTGAGATGTGTTACAGTGTGAGATGTGTTGGAGTGTGAGATGTGTTGGAGTGTGAGATGTGTTACAGTGTGAGATGTGTTACAGTGTGAGATGTGTTACAGTGAGAGATGTGTTGCAGTGTGAGATGTGTTACAGTGTGAGATGTGTTACAGTGTGAGATGTGTTACAGTGTGAGATGTGTTGGAGTCTGAGATGTGTTGGAGTGTGAGATGTGTTACAGTGTGAGATGTGTTACAGTGTGAGATGTGTTACAGTGTGAGATGTGTTACAGTGTGAGATGTGTTGCAGTGTGAGATGTGTTGGAGTGTGAGATGTGTTGGAGTGTGAGATGTGTTACAGTGAGAGATGTGTTGCAGTGTGAGATGTGTTACAGTGTGAGATGTGTTACAGTGTGAGATGTGTTGCAGTGTGAGATGTGTTGGAGTGTGAGATGTGTTGGAGTGTGAGATGTGTTACAGTGTGAGATGTGTTGGAGTGTGAGATGTGTTACAGTGTGAGATGTGTTGGAGTGTGAGATGTGTTACAGTGTGAGATGTGTTATAGTGTGAGATGTGTTGGAGTGTGAGATGTGTTGCAGTGTGAGATGTGTTACAGTGTGAGATGTGTTGGAGTGTAAGATGTGTTACAGTGTGAGATGTGTTGGAGTGTGAGATGTGTTGGAGTGTGAGATGTGTTACAGTGTGAGATGTGTTAAAGTGTGAGATGTGTTAAAGTGTGAGATGTGTTAAAGTGTGAGATGTGTTACAGTGTGAGATGTGTTACAGTGTGAGATGTGTTACAGTGTGAGATGTGTTGGAGTGTGAGATGTGTTACAGTGTGAGATGTGTTGGAGTGTGAGATGTGTTACAGTGAGAGATGGGTTACAGTGTGAGATGTGTTACAGTGTGAGATGTGTTGGAGTGTGAGATGTGTTGGAGTGTGAGATGTGTTACAGTGTGAGATGTGTTACAGTGTGAGATGTGTTACAGTGTGAGATGTGTTACAGTGAGAGATGTGTTACAGTGTGAGATGTGCTGCAGTGTGAGATGTGTTGGAGTGTGAGATGTGTTGCAGTGTGAGATGTGTTACAGTGTGAGATGTGTTACAGGAGTGTGAGATGTGTTTGAGGGTGAGATGTGTTACGTGTGAGATGTGTTACAGTGTGAGATGTGTTACAGTGTGAGATGTGTTGGAGTGTGAGATGGTGTGGAGTGTGAGATGTGTTGCAGTGTGAGATGTGTTACAGTGTGAGATGTGTTGGAGTGTGAGATTGTGTTACAGTGTGAGATGTGTTACAGTGGTGAGATGTGTTGGAGTGTGAGATGTGTACAGTGTGAGATGTGTTGGAGTGTGAGATGTGTTACAGTGAGAGATGTGTTAAAGTGTGAGATGTGTTAAAGTGTGAGATGTGTTACAGTGTGAGATGTGTTGGAGTGTGAGATGTGTTACAGTGTGAGATGTGTTGGAGTGTGAGATGTGTTGGAGTGTGAGATGTGTTGGAGTGTGAGATGTGTTACAGTGTGAGATGTGTTACAGTGTGAGATGTGTTATAGTGTGAGATGTGTTGGAGTGTAAGATGTGTTACAGTGTGAAGATGTGTTGGAGTGGTAAGATGTGGTTACAGTGAGAGATGTGTTAAAGTGTGAAGATGTGTTGGAGTGTGAGATGGTGTTACGAGTGTGAGATGTGTGGAAGTGTGAGAGGTGTTACAGTGAGAGATGTGTTAAAGTGTGAGATGATGTTGGAGTGTGAGATGTGTTACACGTGTGAGGATGTGTTATAGTGTGAGATGTTGTTGCAGTGTTGAGATGTGTTATAGTGTGAGATGTGTGTGGAGTGTGAGATGTGTTACAGTGTGAGATGTGTTGGAGTGGTGAGATGTGTTACAGTGTGAGATGTGTTTGGTGTGTGAGATGTGTTGGAGTGTAAGATGTGTACAGTGTGAGATGTGGTTGGGAGTGTGAGATGTTGTTGGAGTGTGAGATGTGTTACAGTGTGAGATGTGTTAAAGTGTGAGATGTGTTACAGTGTGAGATGTGTTGGAGTGTAAGATGTGTTACAGTGTGAGATGTGTTGGAGTGTGAGATGTGTTAAAGTGTGAGATGTGTTACAGTGAGAGATGTGTTGGAGTGTGAGATGTGTTAAAGTGTGAGATGTGTTACAGTGTGAGATGTGTTACAGTGAGAGATGTGTTACAGTGAGAGATGTGTTACAGTGTGAGATGTGTTACAGTGAGAGATGTGTTACAGTGTGAGATGTGTTACAGTGTGAGATGTGTTGGAGTGTGAGATGTGTTACAGTGTGAGATGTGTTAAAGTGTGAGATGTGTTGGAGTGTGAGATGTGTTGCAGTGTGAGATGTGTTACAGTGTGAGATGTGTAACAGTGTGAGATGTGTTGGAGTGTGAGATGTGTTGCAGTGTGAGATGTGTTACAGTGTGAGATGTGTTGCAGTGTGAGATGTGTTACAGTGTGAGATGTGTTGGAGTGTGAGATGTGTTACAGTGTGAGATGTGTTGGAGTGTGAGATGTGTTACAGTATGAGATGTGTTACAGTGTGAGATGTGTTACAGTGTGAGATGTGTTGGAGTGTGAGATGTGTTGGAGTGTGAGATGTGTTACAGTGTGAGATGTGTTACAGTGTGAGATGTGTTACAGTGTGAGATGTGTTGGAGTGTGAGATGTGTTACAGTGTGAGATGTGTTACAGTGTGAGATGTGTTGGAGTGTGAGATGTGTTACAGTGTGAGATGTGTTACAGTGTGAGATGTGTTACAGTGTGAGATGTGTTACAGTGTGAGATGTGTTACAGTGTGAGATGTGTTGGAGTGTGAGATGTGTTGGAGTGTGAGATGTGTTACAGTGTGAGATGTGTTGCAGTGTGAGATGTGTTGCAGTGAGAGATGTGTTACAGTGTGAGATGTGTTGCAGTGAGAGATGTGTTACAGTGAGAGATGTGTTACAGTGAGAGATGTGTTGCAGTGTGATATGTGTTACAGTGTGAGATGTGTTGCAGTGTGAGATGTGTTACAGTGTGAGATGTGTTGCAGTGTGAGATGCGTTGGAGTGTGAGATGTGTTGCAGTGTGAGATGCGTTGGAGTGTGAGATGTGTTGGAGTGTGAGATGTGTTACAGTGTGAGATGTGTTACAGTGTGAGATGTGTTGCAGTGTGAGATGTGTTACAGTGTGAGATGTGTTACAGTGAGAGATGTGTTGCAGTGTGAGATGTGTTGGAGTGTGAGATATGTTACAGTGTGAGATGTGTTACAGTGTGAGATGTGTTACAGTGTGAGATGTGTTGGAGTGTGAGATGTGTTGGAGTGTGTTCGGGCAGCAGGGGTCACCTACAGTTGTCTGGAGGCGTGTCTGGAGAGGGTGCTCTGAATGGCCTGATCCTCTTCCTCCTCATCCTGCAGCATCTTGGCTACGCGGATGTCATTCTGCACGAGCTGGTTCTTCTGCATGTTGGTGGTATAGTATTGCTCGACTGTGGGAGCAAGGCAGAGAGAAAGGCAGAGGATGAGACAATGTGTGGTGATAAAGGAAAGTGTGAGATCTAGGATATAAATAACTCATAAATAACTTCTCTAATGAATTACTATATTATTTAAACATATTTGTTGGTATGTATGTTTACTGTTACTGTAAATCTGATGACTTTTCCTTTCTGGGTTGTTTTTGGGACACTCAGTGTACTTTTGAGGAATCTCACAAACTGACACCTAATGACATGTCCCTTTGTTTACTGGGCAACATGGCAAAGACATAACACACCTTTGTAAGAGACAAAAGCTATCCAAGAAGGAGATCAACATAACCACCTTAAGTAAGTCTGTTTTACCATAAGATGAATTCAGCATTTCACACAAATATGTTACTTGGGTCTAGTAGCTGCTTAGTATAATCAAACTAAACCCTTTAACAGGATAAGTAAAGCTGGAGCCCACATTAAACAAATGTTTACACAGTGATGTGGTCTGCAGCTTGACATTGTACTCACTCTCCTGTTCCTGCAGGTTGTGTGCCAACACTCCATCCTCCAGCACCGCGAAACTCTGGCACACTGAAACCACAGAGGACAGACACACTTCAGTGTGCTACAAAGTGTTCCTAAACATGAATGAAGTGGGGATATAAGTGTTAATAAAATAAGCATTTCTCTCAGCTTGAGGGATTATTAAAACATACAAATGTCCACAATCTTCAAGGACCCTGTTTTCTCCATCCAAAACAACAGTTGGAATAAAAAGAGACAATATGTTGGAGCCTTTGGTTCAGCACTTTGTCTAAAAAGAAACGATAGGATGTGAGTGTTGTGCGTCATAATGGTTGTTTATTTGACAGACAAAAGGCGGACGAGTGTTTCTCCAAACTTTAGAAAATAACAATTATCTACCACTCTGGCCGAGCTCTCTGTGTGTGTGTGTGTGTGTGTGTGTGTGTGTGTGTGTGTGTGTGTGTGTGTGTGTGTGTGTGTGTGTGTGTGTGTGTGTGTGTGTGTGTGTGTGTGTGTGTGTGTGTGTGTGTGTGGGCAACATTTATTTTAAAAATATATCTTTAGGAGGAACATATGACTAACAAATGAAGATGCAAAGTTTAGGTACTTCTACCTTCAGCCATTTGATACTGGGAAGGTAGTTTAGATGGAACTTTAAGTAAAGTTACATTTGTAAGGTTGTTGTAAATCCCAAGGCTTTAGCTAAGAGCTCTCTGCACACCAACTCTGTCTGGTTCTTTATATTGAGCAAACTGAGCCCTCCCTATCCACTGATCCCTCAGTGTGGCCACCTGCTGCGGGATATGGTAATAAAACATATCTGTTTCATGTCGTTAATGCTCTCCAGCCTTTGTTTGGTTTTGTCAGAATGCTGACAAAAGACTTAAAAAGCAATTCTACATAGAAAAAGACCCACAACCTTTGTAGTCAAACAAAGGGATATTCAGCAAGAGAGACAGTTAACTGCTCTGGTTAGACCTGACTGCATTTTAAGTCTCCAGTAATACAGTACTAGTGAATACCCACCGTTACGCGCCACTCTCTGGTCTGTACATTGGTTTTAATAGCTTCAGCATCATCTGTGTACTGTTATTCTCATCTAAAAGGCATGCCAAGTGTTTACAGGAGTCCTTAATGAGCCCTGATAGCCTCTGTGTGCCGAAGCCCAAGAGTGTTTCAAGTCTGTCAAACAAACTCAGAAGTTACTGAAGAGAAAATAAACACACACAGTCAGCAGCAGCGTGGCCCAGCTGTGTTCTCTACTTCCTCCATCTCGGCCGACACACAGCCCACTGTGACCGAACAAATTAACTTTGCCGTCTCTCAGATTCTCCTCAAGGAGCCTAGAAGGGCCGTCTACTTCTACAATGGTGCTTTCAAACGCCCAGACAGTGTTTAAGAGGAGATTCGTTAACTGAGGGAAAAGCCTCCAGCTTGTCTCTATTAAAAACACCTGTCCTGCTACTAAACACCCCCCCCCCCCCCGAGCCTATAAGAGCAGCTTCTGTGGAGACAATGGCCACGTTTACAGCCATGCACTTAATCCTTACGATACTGATGAGTTGATACACATAAATGCCATATGTTCTTAAATAACCTCTTAAATATCTTCGCACAGCCACGGAAAACCTGGATCATTTATAGAATAAGTATAACATAACGATACAAATTCAGACACTCTGTCCCAAGTAGGGCTGCTCGATTATGGCAAAAATCATAATCTCGATTATTTTGGTCAATAATTGATATCACGATTATTAAAAACTATTATCCATTTACTTTGAAAACATCCATTTATTAAAAATGTTAACAGTATGTTTTTAACAGTTGATTACCCTGAACTTTAAATATAAAATTCAACTGAAAAACCAATACAAAAATAAATTAAAAATTTTTTTTATTTCGATTATGTTGTTTTCATAATCGTTGCAAGCCAAAATCGTAATTGCGATTAAAATACGATTAATTGAGCAGCCCTAGTCCCAAGGAAAGCATTGTAATACAATTCTGTCACTCATTTTATTTGACAGAAGGTTGTTAAATGTGCCTAAAAAAAAGAAAATCCAAGAAGGACGTTTGAGTTGCAAATATTATCCATTATCTGGAATACTGTGAGTGTAAACCTTGTTTTCAATTTGAGCACTTTTCAACGAAAGACCCTCATGGCACACTTTGTTTGCTTAAGGCTAGCATTTGTTTGTATCCAATGGTAAGGAGACGTACAAATCTAAAACAGAAATGTATGAACAGAAGGGATGCTCCAAGATTTATTGTCAGAGTGACATGGGGCCCACAGTATATGGCACAGCTGGGACCATCTGTGTGGCTAATTCAAAACATACGAAACATCAAGCGTTTAACCAATCCCAGACTTCAGGACTGCTTGTGTTTGCTGCCTTGCTGTTTTTGTACTCTAAAAGACAACCTGTTTTTACTCGAATACTGTTCTAAAATGTACAGAGTCCTCTTGTCTTTTATTGCTGTACCTTACCTGAACTACTAGAGCTTGATGTAACAATGCAATGTCTAATTTCAAAATGTATAAAACTGCTTCCGAGTTGGTATTACACGTCAAACTGAGGGTATCGCCTCTTTGTCCAGTTCTGTAAATAGGGAAGTAAGGAAAAAGTGAAAACATTCTTGTGGTAAGATATAGTCAAACTTCACTAAATCCTAAATATGGAAGAAAAACACAGCGTTCCTGCTGAGAATAAGTGTCTGGTTATATTTCAGTCTACAGGGGCCCAACAGTCAAAGTTCATAGAAATAACCCAGACAGACTAAGCCATGAGAGGGGTCTGTTTACAACATGGAGGACCACATCAGCTCCACTCCCAGTTAACCCATACCAAGACAGACACGCATTACCACTTACACCTGTTGTGGAGCTTAAGAGACTATCCGATAAATGGATCTCCAACTTCGCTTATGTGAAAGAAAAGGGATTAAGTCCAAGGCTTGGTTTTAATCTGAAAGGACAAATTGATGCTCCAAAACACGAGTTTACTCTTAAATCCAAAGCGAAACGGAAAAAATGGAGGAAAATTATAGTCTTGTCTGTGTAAGCCTGCAAGTGTGTGTGTGTGTGTGTGTGTGTGTGTGTGTGTGTGTGTGTGTGTGTTTGTGTGTGTGTGTGTGGGTGTGTCTGCATTGTGGGTTAACTTGTTTTTCCAAACTCCTAAAACTCACATTACCCTTCTAGGCTGGGCCAAAGAGACTGCGTTATTAAGACTGCTGAACAGGTTTTGACGGACAGGGTGTGCACATGGAGACACTTGCTCAGTGAGAGCCGACGGCCGAGTGTGTTTTCAAAAATACAGAGACTCAACGTGTGTAAGCTTCTTGATAAGGACACTGAAAGGACCCTGTGTACATTTCCTAAGAGGCTAGTGAATCAAAGATCCAGCAGATAACAGAAATTGGCTGTGGCATCTGAACACCAGAGGCTGAGATCCAATGAGGGATAAGAATGTCTAGGAAACAGCGCAAAGTAAGAAAACAAGTAGATAAGGTTTTAAAATATTAGCAGCCATTCACTGCAGCGCTCCGTATGTTCCCAAACACTGTGACTGTGGGAGAAGAGGATATTATAAAGCAGGAAACCACGACCTCTGTAACCTCAAACCAACACAAATCTGAATGAATTCCTATGCCTCTTGTTCAATACAAGTATTACATTAATGGCGGTAGAAAAATATGTTGCTATTTTTACCTTTTTGCTGATATTACTGAATCTCATAGCTTTAAGTATGTCTCTTTCTAGGACTCCCACCAATTTCAGAGAAGCATATTAAATAAACGTATGCAGATTATCTCAGGGATCCAGCTTGAGAGAGGCAGGCGATCAGACACTGACAGAGATATTTCTCTTTCATCTTCGCAGCCACTTGGATAGCAGCAGTGGCAAATGCCTGCCAAACAGAGGAACGGGCGAAAGGAGAAAATGACAAGAGTTCTATTTTCATCCAAAATCCTTCACCAACCACCCACATGCTCCCCCTCTCTCCTCCTCACTGGCATATTCTGTTTCCTGGTTTCTGCACAAAATGTCACCATAAAGTGTCTGTCCATCCCACAGCTCTCTCGGCTGTGTTAAAAAACTAGGTGAACTGGGTAAGAAATCTCATGAACTTGACACAGTTTTCATGGAGAACAAAAGGAAGTGCGGGGTTATGGGACTCTGGGTCAGTTGCTGAGAGTGAAATTAGGAAAAGGGGGGAGGTGGGGGAATTCCTCTGGGAGCTGCATTCCCTCTGCACATCAGGCTATATCAGGAGCAGCCAGAGGAGGGACAAAACAGGAACTGATAAGGGGGGCAGTGAAAACAAAGAGAGTTGACTTGGCTGAGACTCTCGGAAGAGGAGGAAAGTGAAGGAGAAGTGGGCTAAGGGGAACTACGGCTCTTAGGGAAATTGAAGCGTAAACACCCACAATGTTAAGTAAACAACCCCCGGTGCCTCAGAGAGGGACAGCAGCACAGTTGATCATATCTGTCTGGTGAAAGTGGATGATGAGCGGAAAATAAATACACTGCGCAGACAGCTGATTTACATGCTGCTATTGTCTCAACGAGCACTTTATTGCTGCCATTACCACCTTGGTTTGTGCACTGGCCCCTGCTCAATAAAGCACAAGATTGCAAAGCTGCACAGTGTGCCCTTTGTGTATGGAAACAAGAGCGCAGTGCTGAATTATCTCCCTTGATAAAAGACATGCAGACCTATTTCTATTCCATTCATTAGTGTGGACACGCCAAAGACTGAGTCAACCGTCTACACCCAGGCCAGCGCTTAGACATTCCACCTGCCACTGTTTTCATACTTACATGCAAACAGATGGAAGTCATTTAGTTCATTAGAGCTGTAAGCATTAGTATGGCAATATTTTTGTTGTCATTATGGCATATTCTCCTATGTTTATCACTACTTTATGTGTGTGTGTGTGTGTGTGTGTGTGTGTGTGTGTGTGTGTGTGTGTGTGTGTGTGTGTGTGTGTGTGTGTGTGTGTGTGTGTGTGTGTGTGTGTGTGTGTGTGTGTGTGTGTGTGTGTGTGTGTGTGTGTGTCATATGCACCACAATGTTCATCCAATAGTGTTGTGGCTTTAACTAAAGCACAGCCAGATTTACTTGAAAGTCCAGACCAATCCAATTAAGAGCAATTATGATTTAATTGACATGATAAAGTATTCCCAATCAGCTCTGAAGCTTTCTATAAAGTTAGACTACACTTAAGTTATTGATAGTGATAGCACTTTTTCCCTAAGAAATATCATAGCCGAAACAGCTACCTCATTCCTCCTTTCTCTTATCCAGAACACTCTGCGATGAGATCCATCTCTGTACTACAGACATATTTCTAAACCCGTATCTGCGGCATATAGACAAAACATATGGCAAGCGACTTCCTACTGTATCTGAGATAGAAATCAAGCACAGACACAAAAGGACAGAAGCAAAGCTGCCATTTGGTGCCAAGGCCAGTTACTCACAAAGCAAATGGCAAGTTCTCATCTCATTGTCTCTAAAGCCGGCTGCAGACTGTTGAACAAGTCTGTCCTTAGTGTTGAAGTGTCCATGAATCAAATACTTAAACCCCTAGTGGCTTAGTGTCTGCAGTTTAGTAGCTGACCCTGACCCATGACCTCCATGAGGGGCTGAACAAATACAACTTTCCTCCAGGAGAGACCATTAACCATGGTACATTCTGCACACACACTTTGTCCATATAAGTCTCTAAAGTTGCGAGAGATGGGTCAGTCAGTTACCTTCTTGGACACGAGGAAGGTTAGACTGGTCAATTTCCAGCTCTGCCATCATTGTCCCTGTTGTGTCACAGCGTCATGGTGATACCGAAGACCCTGACAACAGAAAGGAGATGTTATAAGGCGAAATAGAATGGGACCTAATGGCAAATAGAAAATAAACATCCAAGCTACACAGAGAAACGTTTGGTCACACAATTCAAATGTAATAGATGAGTGGTTTATCTCAAAAGTGTTAAATAATAATAATAATAAAGTCTACCAATCACCAAAGGCAGAAGAAGTACTCATATACTCAAGTACCAGAGTCTAGGAATACTCTGTTACAAGTACAAGTCCTGCATTGCAAATGTGACTCAACAAGTACAAAAGTAGAAGCATCAAAATATACTTAAAGTACCAAAAGTAAAAGTACTCATTATGCATATTGCCCATTTTCAACACTACAGGGTAGCTTGTGCATTTACTCCAGGTGATTATATTTCCTATCATTAATCCCAATCTGCAAAGTAACAAGAGGAATAAAACAAAGGTAGTCAAAGTAAAATAATAACATCTGAATTTAATACTTTTAATTATAATACTCAAGTAAAGTGCTAGTATCTCAAAATTGTACTTAAGTACTGTACTTGAGTAAATGTATTTAGATACTTTACACCACTGCCAAAACACGAACAAACTGAACAAATGATAGTTCTTGCTGGCTGCTTACAGTAACTAGAGCATGACAAGTATCTGCATTGCAGTGGGAACATTGTTGTCTTGTCGAGATAAATAAATGAATAATAACCAAACACACATTATTAAATGAGTTTATGTATCGAAGAGTCATTATTTATAACCTACCTGTTCCCAGCACGCTGCCCACACTACAGGCTCCAGTGTTCAGTGTGAGTGTGTGTGCAACAAGTACCAAACATGACAGCGGAGTGTCAATTTTGTCCGCTCCGTCGCACTTTCCCCTCTCCCTCTCTCCTCTCTGTGCCCACACAAATTATCCCAAAATGTCACGGACGTGTTTCTGACGCCTTTAGTTTTAGTGTGAAACTAAAAGCGACGCTCGCTGTTCTTCAATGACACAAAGCCCCTTGTACTGGTGAAGGGAAGCCGGGCAGGACAAACTTAGCCCACTGTCTGTCGCTGCTTCTTCACAGCTCCTGTTCAGAGGGGGCGGCTAACAGCTGCTGCCTTCAAGTGCTCCGTCAAACTCAGGATTATCTCATACGACTCACGATGTCCGACAATAAAAGTATACAATTAGCCTATTTTATGATAGTTTTTTTCACTATATAAGGACGTTTGGAATAAAGACTTGTTGGTTTACAAATATGTTTAAATCTGGTAATCGGCATAACATATGTCAGGCCTAAAGTTTACACATATAGAATCGCACGGTAGCATATTATCGCAGGTAGAGACGGTAGGATTCATCTCCAGGAAGTGACACCCATCCCATATTATATTACAATTTGAATAGCATTGCCTACAGGTCCACCAGACGCACCCACGTACGTGCGTGCTTAGTGAGTTGCAATATTACAACAGTTATTGAAGGCAACACTTAAACCGAATGTTCCAATCACTCAAAGAATGTAGCATACATTTTCAAGTATGCTGAAGTATGCAGTTGTGCAGTAATTAACTACCGGTAAATATGTATAGAAAAGGGGAAATTATTTTTGGAATAAAAACTGCTTGGTATCTTTGAGTGACCATGTTGGCAACTTTAGAGTTTTAAAACATGTTATAAGTGTGTAGCAAAACATTTCAATTGAGTTGTGTTTCAAGAAAAGCTTGAAGAAGACTTCATTTGAGAGAAATAACAGACAATCAACTTTTCCTCCAGTGTGCACCTGGGTAGCCCTGATTTATTCAGATCGGCAGGAAACCTTTTTGCTCTGATGTCAGTAAAATTATATCAAAAGTCTATTTTCTAGGGAGGATGACATGGTTTTAAAAATGGTCTTGTAAATGTCAATGATGATGAGGATTTAAGGGCTATTTAAGGTTTTGAAGGCTACAGGTTTTGTGATTCAATTTGCACTCTGTCAATCTGAGATTGTTTGAAGACTGCTAAAAGGAAGAAGGAAAACATTACACAAGTGTCTAGAAAGATATTTTCCACTTCAGAAACCACACTGAATAGTTTACACTGGAGACTAATTTGCTGAAAATGTGTAAACGTGGTAAATGTAATGAGATTTTCCAGACGTAATATTGCCCTCTGCTGGTTGTTCATACGTCAGTCAGTAATCCAGAGGTCGAATAATGTCAACAACATGTCACACAAACCTATGCAGGGCAGATAACTTGGAATACTACAGTTGTTTTGTGAGACATGTGGCTTTGCAATGATGGGCCTTTAGCAGATTAAGACTAAAGATCAAGAAAAAATTAGGAATTTTCAGAAAAAATATCCAGCCATTTAGTGTGAATGTCAAATCAAGGGTTAATAAAATGAAAGTAAAAAGATACTGTAACATCTTAACCATATCTATTGTGCCTCTGAGGATATGTTTTCTGTATATGCTCTGTTCCCTGAGCCACATTATATTTCATGGATCTCAAAAGGAGCAGTATGTGTCCTTGTTTTTTACGAAACGCCTGTACCTTGAATCAAGATTTCTCATAAAAGTGTAAAGAGGACCCCATATATAGTAGGATTAACATTTATTTTAGAGTCTGGAATACGCCTGGATTGGCAGCAGGGCCTTGACTAATACAGAATATAAATCGTAATAACTTTTTATGATACAAAGCGTAGCAAAACCTAATGGAGTAGCTGGCCTTCTGACTATAAAATGAAATGTCACTGTCGCTTCGTCGACCCTCATTATCATACAAGTGACTGAACATTGACGTCACACTTCTAATAAATAAACAATTTACAGAGGTGCAGCCTGTCCCCCAGTCTCCATTGACAGGAAATGTATTTTTTGCCATCTATGCTGGACTTTATACATTTGAGTTTTATTGCATGAGCATGACTAAGAACAAGTGAAAGAACACATTTCCAATCATACCAGAACAAGGCTTTTAAATAATGTGCATAAATCAATCTGTTCAGTGACCCATGGAACATCTTCGGTGCTCTTAAACTGAAAATGTCGGATGTCTTATAGGTTACAAAGCTTCAACTGTTTTAGCATTTACACTGATCCACTGTGCAAGTAATTATGTTATTTTATTGGGAAGTCTCACTGCAGCTCCAATTGTTTGTTTGTTCTGATTCAGGAGCATTCAAATGGCCCAACAGTTTAATGAGCTGGTAGCATAAAAGCATTATTAATTTAGTTGCCCAGTTTCTCCACCTGCTCCCGAGTCCCTACAGGATGTTGTTGTGAATGACATCTGAAACACCTGCTTCAATCCTATTTACAAAGTCAGTAAAACAGTCAATCAAGCTGTAGTGCTGGTAAAACATGGCTGTGCCCTTGAAGCCTGGGCCATGGCACTTGTCTTTTTATTGAGCCCATAATTCACCTGTGACTCCCTGTTGATTTATCGCAGTCAGAAAGGATGGAACTGTGGATATTGCTGATGGCTGTTGTGGCAAGAGTGTGTGTCCGGATGCAGGAAGGGGGACAGGCTAATGCTGGTAGTATATAACCCAGTTGGACCAACAGAGCAAGTACAAGTCTTTGTTTTCACCTGAGGCAATCGAGCGACTTCCAACATCAACGTCCTGTAGAGATGAAGTGTAACCATCTCCTGTCCTGGGCCTTCCTGCTCCTGGCCTCTGGCCCACTGCTGGCCCACCCCATCTCAGAATCTGCAGAGATGTCCTATCCGGGACCTGGTGAGTGGAAATGAATATCTCTATTTAGCATGTATTCACAAAATTGCATCAATTAAGTACGTTGATTATCATTTTTAGTTATACAACCTATGAGAGAATAATGTCAGGTTAGTCACGTCGTCAGGCCTTGAAGTTATTACTTTGGAGTTGCAGTGTTGAGCGGGGATCGTTCTGCCAGAGTTCACACACATGGACCATTGATAGGAGACTTGTTCTGCCATTAGAATAAATATTATGTTTTCTTTTTAATACTTAAAAAGTTATTTGTAAAATGATCATGAATTGCTGTCAACTATATCAACACCAATGGGAAAATCAGTGTTAAATATTTCAAAAACAACACTAAAAAAATGTCTTCCAACTTTATGCGGTTGTTTGGTTCTCCTCAGTGTCAGTGGAGGACGGAGGAGTCGGCGCTCTGGATGATCTGTCTCTCTCCGAGCAGAACTTCCCTTCTCAGGATGGTCTCAGATATTCCACTCTGATATCTGGGGAGTTTAACAGAGATGGTAAGAAACACAAAGACACACACTGTTTATTATATTAACATGCAGATAATTGTTTTATCCAGGAAAAATCACCCACTTTCTTTTTGCAAAATCATTGTGCTACAACTTTGAATTCATGTCAGCTTTATCATATTGTTCTATGGTTGGATAGCTAGCCAGGCGGTTGGAGGTCCTCTACTCTGCCACTACCTGACATGCACAGACACATGTCTAAAGCAACAACTATCTCAAACATCAGAATAACCTCATGTTTTGTTTCTTCTCTGAGGTGTCAGAACAGGTCTGCTTCCCAGAGGGATTAAAAGAGAGGTGAGCTTTCTAAAAAACAGTCTTATCCCTGAAACAGCAAAGTAATTACAAATGTTTTCACTAAAACTACTTTATCCCATCTCTTAGGTCCTACTGGAGAAACAAAGTCTCCTAAATCCTTTCAGCCGTGTGCTGGGCATCCGGAAGCAGTTCAGGAAGAGAGGAGGGACCGCTGAGTGTTTCTGGAAGTACTGCGTCTAAAACCGTCAACAGGCATTCAAGCTAAACACAAGAGACAGGGCTTGCACTCAAACAAAACATCACAATCTAGCACTCACTTTATTAAATCCATCAAAATAAAAAAAACATCATGCATTTGAACTGTATGAGCACATATGCATGCCCAGGTAATGTAAATACACACACACATCCTCATAAGCGCTGTCAATATGTGAGAAAAAGAACAATGCCATAGGTGTGATTGAGACATGTTGAGTGGGGTCTTTAAGATGTTTCATGGTGACTATGTTCATAAAACTATATTTGTGTACAGGCATTTGTTAAAATACCCTAGTTGTCTGATATATGACCAAATGTATTTTAAATGTGAAAGCTTTGGGTTGTACCCAAATGTTGTTGGGATGTTGAATATAAATAAAAACTATATTATAAATACTGTCTTATCGTCTTTTCTTGATACAAGGTGTTGACGAAAAGTCATTGGTAGAAGAAAAAATGATTGCGTTCTTAAAGTAAAAGAAGAAACAAAAAGACGGAGCAAACTTGGTTCAGGAGTTTTCTTAATTTTTTCATTTTTTTATTATTTTACAGCAGAAAGAATATAAAGCATTCAGAAAACATCGTCCATATTTTAAGGGCAATTCAAAACGTTTTGCATGGCTTCAGCAGCTGAAATCTCTTCTTTTTTTTTTAAACATATCCATCGAGTCAGTGACGCTTGTACATGCACAATTACAAAAATAAAACTTACAAACAAGAGAAGGAGGAAGAAAAAGGAGGAAAACAAAACACATTAGGAGAACCAAGAGGAGATGAAACCTTGAAGGGTAGGGGTCGGGAGCAGAGAAACATTGGGTCACATAACAGGGAAAGACAGAGAGAAAGACAGCTATAGAGGAGAGGAAAATAGATCTAACACTAGTTCACATGCAAAGTGTCGAGGACCCGTAACTTTCTATCAAAGCAGGGCCTTTTTTTCTTCTTCTCGGTTTGGAATTGATGAAAACGTGCAGATCGGTAAAGGGTGCCATATAATTGCTGTCCATAAACTACTGAATGCTTGTCTTGCAATACTGGCATTTGCATAAGAGAAAGTCGACTACATGTGTCCAATCATTTTAAACTTCACTAGGTCTATAGGTCTCCACAAAATAGTTCTTTATTGCTCTGTGTCCACAAGTGGAATATGTTGTAAAACCGTTTCTGTTCTGTTGTCCTGATGTGCCTACCTTTCTCTGGTTTGGGCGCTCGGGAAAAAGAAGAGGAGGAAAGGCAGATTCCCAGGTCAATTCACAGAACGTCTTGAAAATTGCTAATATTAAATATGAAGAGTGCCTATCAGCTAACCTGTCATC